CAAACAAAGGTGTTCTGCCTTTGAGTAGGCATGCGCTCCCTCAAAGGAAATCCTAGAATGATAGCTCACCAGAGGGCAAGGAGTCGGGTGCGCTCCCACTTCTTTTCACTGCAGGTTTGCTGTCCCTGGAGTTCCTTACCGGCAGATTTATCTATGGCACCGTCTGTGGACGCCTTTCAGCGAAGGCTGGAAAATCATGCAGCAACACAAGGACTGCGTCCAAACGGCCTGTCCCCTTAAAATCCCATACACTATTTAGGAGTAGACAACTAAATTCGTCGTTTTACTTCTTTACATTCTCTCCCGTCTGACTCTTCTGAAAACTCTAACTACACTTATTATCGAGTCTTATTCTTGATTTATATCCAAATTTGCTAATAATTTAAAATAAGTGATACACTTGTATACTTTCGTCAGCATTTTCATCGTAACATCACAAGTGAATTGTACTCAATGTAGACTAATAATAGTGACAGTTTATATTTTCTTATAAACGGGTGTTTTCAAGAAATGCAAGCTATTTTTACAGACATGATCAGTTATGTTGTAAGTTACAATCGTGAAGTATTATAAATCAGTATTTTTTATTGGTATAAAGGTATATTTCACAACTGTAATCCAGGTTGCGTTGTGGGGAAAGGTAATGCGTAATTCACGAGGGAATTGTAAGATATGGGACCAATAATGTTTGCAGATCATTTGTCATTGTAAATGGTCAAATATCCACATTCTTCATTCTCATTCAAAAAGTCAAATGGAAGCTAAAATGGTGAGAAAAAGAAGACAAACAACAGCTACGCAGAAGACAGCAAGTGGAGTACTTAGGGAGTGATTAATATGTATATATACATTTATATTCTGTTTAGTAACTATGGTTATTTTGGCGCACTAACTAACTAGTCCCGTGATGCTAACTTTTATATTGTGTGAACTGATATTATTGTCTTGTGTAAAAATGTTTATCATGTACTTCCAATAATAATAAAATTTATAAGTGTAGTTTGTTGTAACTGCACGTTTGATGAACTTAAAATATCTACGTAGGGTGAAAAATAGGGTGTACGAGTCAGACGCAGAAGTGAATTGTCATCTTTGAGTAGTCTGGTGACTGAGGAGATGAACACTGGAAGTGTGTTTGCATCACAAACATTAGCTGGTAGTCTATTCCAAATGACTGAAAACTTATTTAGGAAGAAGTTGTACCGCATGTAAGTCTGACAATGCTCTATATCAGCTAGGTTGCGATGATTTCTAAGATTGTAACTGATGACAGCAGTAGGTTTAATTGTTGGATCGCAGGAGTGCACGAATAGATTAGTTAGCTTGTAGTAAAAAACTAGGTTTGGCTTAAGATTTCTTTTCCAGAGTGGTTCTAATCTTAGTCTGTCGCAACGTTCATAGTATTCGAGACCACTTTGTAAACCAAGAGTTCTTGAGGTAAATTACCGTTGCACTCCTTCTAATTTAAGCTTGTCATGTTGTCGCAGTCGGCTAAAAATAAACGGGCAGTATTCTTAAATAGGTCGGACACATGCTTTGTATAATAAAACCCTAGTTTCACAACAAAAGAAATTGAGAGTTATGCATCCTAGGAGCCTTCGTGTTTTACGTCTGGCATAATCAGTTTGTCCAGAGAACGTTAAGTTACTACAGTATCTGATACCGAGAACTACGGCTGAGTTGAGCTTGGCTAGTTTTCACCGATTTACTTCAAGAGTTAGGCCAAGGCTTCTGTTGCCGATACAAATCCAGCCACATTTGTCAATGTTAAACTTTAGACAGGATTCAGCACACCATGTTGCGAGACCATTTAGTTCAAGATGTATTTTATTTACCATATCGCTTAATTCATGAGCGTAGCAGGAGTAAGCGACTTTGAAGTCGTCAGCACATAGGAATGATTTACCTGAGGTGAAGCAGTTGCAAATGCTGTTAATGTATACTGTAAATAAAAGTGGACCTAAGACACTACCTTGCACAACCCCACTTGTGATCTGCCTAGGATAAGAAAATACAGATCCAACCTTGGTTATTTGTACCCTTTTGCTTAGAAACGATTTTAACCAGTTCAGTAATGGATTGCGAATCCCACATGAATACAGCTTCTCAAAGAGAATACTGTGAGATACCATGTCAAATGCCCTAGATATATCGAAGTAGAGAACAACAACTAGCTTACGTGCTTCGCGACTACTAGTGATCATTACCAATATATATATCAACTTCAAATTTAATCAGCCGTCTGTTTATACATATTCTTAATTTCTTTTTCTGTCTAGTAGTCTCTTAGAGGCTGATGGTATTGACGTTCACCGATTGTAGTGAGTATACGAATGCAAAATCTAACGCCAGCAACTTCCATAGTATTCGTTCCGCGCAGACCAAAGGCAAAGCAAAATACACGATTGATCGTCCAAAGCACGATATATATTTCGGAACCAAATCGGAGTGCGAGGTGATTGCTCAACTGGCTAGTGATCGTGCACGAACGTGACACGATGGAGTACCGAATGGTATGGATACTTGACTGGAAGCCTTCGGCTAAACAAGCCGACTTAAACAGTGAGAGTCAGCATCCAATGTTCAGTGATGACTACTGTGGTCAACAATTTAGGGGAATTATTTACCATTACAGCTCACTCCCTTCTAGTGTGGTTGTGTGGACCCTAGGACAGAACCAGCCGGGAGTAAAATTTCGATGGTTCCCTTAAGGGTGAGAAAAATCTTACGAGCGGCTTGGTGGATTGCATACTGGTCTGTCTGCCTGTAGATCGCTTCCTTGTTGTATGTCCGTTGGATCTCGTGCTTCGTTTGTTTCCTGTCGAGTGCCCTTCGCACCTGGAAAAGAAAACAAGAATGCTAAGAACCAAAAGCATTTACCATACAGTATAATAATGCAAAAATTAGAAAATCGAAAAAGTATATATTTAATTATTTTAGCGGACGTAACATGTAAAGTTACAGAAAAGCTTTTTTACTTGGGTTTCGGGATGCAATTTAAAAAAGTTGATGTGTCTGAAAGGAAAAAATAATAAATACCACGAATGAATAAGAGTTGGGTGAATCGAATCACTCAGTTAACAATAATAAAAATATATTCTCATTTTGTACATGAGGGATGCCAGTTTACAGGCATCATCAATATGATAAATTACATGTACGATTAAGAGGAAATATAAAATAATAGTAATTTAATAAAATACACTTTTTCCTACCTGTGTAGGACACACCAATTGTAAAGGCATGGATAATAATTATTATTATCATTATTATCCGTATATATTATTCATTTTTATTCCTCAAATGTAATCAGGTGACTGTTGGTACTTTTTTCTAATTTCTTTTTCTATCTATAAGTCTGAATTACTTCACTTATTATATCTACTGTTATTATCTCTTTTCTTTTGACGATGATTCCGTGGGACTAACTGGTGAAAGGATCAACTCCATTCACAGTAGTTACAGTCTTAACACAACTCATACTACAAGCCACATATAATTAATCTCAGCACTACTCCTTTTGTAGCCAACCAAACTTACGACAGTCAGGTGGCGGGACGAGCTATGCAGAAGTTTAGCGAAGATCATTAACCTGTACCTCACAATCAAGGGGCGAGCACAAAGAAGTCAAATTGGTTTATACTAGCTCGTTATAAACGATATTGGGTATTGGATTTCCTGATTCTAGAGATGCAAACGCAACGCAGTTCAAGTACATTATGCTACCGATATTATGTGTGTCGGAAATGTTGTTACTGCGAAATTTTATTTAAAAGGCATATGAAAAACATAACTTGTTACTAAACTAACATAGCAGTGGACATGAACACTACAATTAGCGGTGACATGCAGTAAAGCCACCCGTCTACGAAGAGATATTTTGAAACCAGAATATTGCGTTTCCAAATATTTTAGTGATATTCAGTAAGTTTGGGCTATATGTGAAGGCTTCACGTCCGTAATATTCGTATATTTTTGAAAACTTAAATACGCATATACTCCTGCCGTTTTAAGGAACGGTGGTGTTTTTAGTATCGCTGATACAACTGTTTATATCAGGTGCTTTGAAGGGAACTGGAGGTCTCACTGAGTTTGGCGTTGATGAATTTAAATTACGAAAATTTATCAAGATCTGGTCTTGCTCAGCTCAAATTTGGGTGACATATTTGTGCAGTTATCAACGTACAGATTTCACTTCAGTAGTCATCTATGTACGTTTGACATCACTTATCATTCTAAAAGTTGTGTCGACACATCTACTGCAAACTGATACTCCACCCATACATATGTGTGTGTAAATTATAAATCGTTTGTACACAGGAGATACTAGAAACAGTATTATGCAATTTCGATGATCTACATCAGTCTGTTATCTGGTTTCCTTATCAGTCACAGCGGAAGCTGTAAGTCAACCTCACCTGCTCTATCTACAGAAATATCTTATTCCGTTTCGTCTAATAATCTGCCGCTATAATCTGCTGCGTAGAATCTGGGCACATAACAACAGTACTGTGAACTGGGGTGATGCAGCTACTATAGGAGAAGTATAGGACCTTTGTGACTAATAATGCAAATCACTGCTGCCTCCCACTTGTAAAATAATATTTAGCTCATATCAAAGGCAGGCAAGTTAGATGGGGAACTTCATTACTTAACAATCTCCTCTGAAACGGGAAGAAATGTTTGAGCACCACAGCTGGCTTCGCGCCACCTCAATGAAAGCAACTTACCTACATGTAACTGGTGCACTGTTAATGAGGACTGCAGATTCGTTATGTTTGACGCATATGTATGACTGATATCGGAGATGAAGAACTAATCACAGTAAAATCGGGGTAATGATACTCACGAAAAAATTTCCGTCATCTTATGTTATGTAGGAACTAAACGATTTACCCTATCAGTCACCCAGATTCTTCGTCATACTAACCAGCTAATACTGACGTTACAAAGTATAATGTATCATATGATATAAACTTAATAATGTAAAGTCAATAGTTCGGCGCTTAAAAATATAGGCGGCTTTCTTTAAATAACCATCAGTGAGTGCTAGACACGAGAGTTTTCCAACCGCCTAGATCAAAGAGTTAAGGTCAATTATGTGACGTGATGCATTTCGCGGAGTTACTTATTTCTGAGGTTGCCGTGAACGGACTAGAGGGAGTTACATTGAATCAGTTGTGGCGAAATTTGGAAGACAAACGTCTTGGGTTTCCTTGGAAAATAGATGAAAATAGCAAACAATTTATTTGGTCTACGCTAATTAAAACTAAGAATATAAGATATTATGTGATGCCATTTTCTGTTCCCCTATGTGAGCATTTTAGTCGTATTGATTGTCTGGTGGAAATGAAAGATGGTACTTACTACAAGCTACCAGTAATGTTCCTACACAAACAATAATATCTTTAGGATTCCCTCCCTCAAGTCCAGTTTTTCCCTGTGAACAAAGATGGTGTATTTGGGTCCTCAAAGTATTATGAAGAAAGAGAAGATATTACGGAAACTGTTTGCAGCGATGTTTCTTGCAATGTGCTACAAAATGTCGCGGAAAGGTTGGTTCCACTCTTAACATTCCCATTATTTAGGTGGGGTGACACCCTAGTACTGGTAGCTTCACAAAATGAAAGGAATAAGTTTTTATTTGGGAGCCAAAATGTTCCACGTTACTTGTCTACAGGCTTGTATGTTATGCTTGAAGCGATTGCTAAGTAAGTTATGTTTTGATCAAGCAACCCGGTATTACGGTGCTGTATTTTTATGTATATAACAGTAGTACACATTGTATCTTAAATTAGTAATAGTCATCTAAGAGTTAAGGAAGGTGTTAGGCGGACATATATTGTAGTTACTAAAATCGCAAAGTGAGTACTTCACTGAGCCTTCTTGTTTGATCCATTATAAAGGTGCAATATGAATTTGACAGTAAAGTTTTGATACAAGAAGTGATGCTTTGTTAGCAACGATGCCTGCCCTTCTAAGTTAATTATACAATATTGTGCATAAAATGTAGACACATCCGTCTATAGGAGTAAGTAATCGATTTCAGTAATTTCCAAATCCTCATTTACGCATTTAGAAAAAAAACGATAGATTTTGCAAAGAAATATGTTTCTCATCATCGGTTCCACACTAATATATAGTTTATTACATCAAGTGGTTATTTTAGTTAATCAGTTTTAGGTATATGGGGGTGAAATTAAGAAGTTAAAAGTCTTCAAAACAATTAACTAATAGATGTTAGTAACAGTTTTGAAGAAGAGGTGAAACTTGATTACGGAATTCAAGTTAATTCTTAGGCGTTAGTAACAAGTTATTACATAATCAAGAAATCTGTGAAATAATGGTGACTTAGAAGAATGGGTTGACTCGGAAGAATTACGTATTATACAAACAAGTTAATAGAATTGGCTAGAATTGTAAAGATTTGCGAAGTCAAAAGATAGTTACCACGGAAGGAGAAAATTCGTTTTTAAAGACTTAATACGTATTAAGTATTGGCCATACAAAGAAAGGGGCTGTACAAATTTCTTTTGAACACACAGATTTGGCTTGTTCAGATAAGTTACGATCGCCTCTTCTGTATATAAAAGTCGTACTCTTATACCATGCCAGAGGTTGGGTGATATACGGTAGATAACTTTAAAAGCTTTGTTACACTCGACCTGATGTCCAGTATCGACGAGATGTTTTTTTATTTATTTACTTAAACGCAGAAAAACTTGGTACAATATGGCTCCAAGAAAGATGCGCCACACAATAATAATAAAACAACATAGATTAAAAGTAAAATATAAGTAGAAAACGGATAAAGAACTTCATCTGGGAAGAAAACAGTCATGTCTAACAAGTTCAAACAGTTAATATATTTGTAAATCTTAGGCACTGTGGTGGTAAATAATTGTTTGTTTATTAGATACATCACACAGTGAAACAGTATTATTTACTGGATGACGTTTCGAACAAAATTTATTGTTCAAAATCATATCAATTGTGATCACACGACTTTGACACTTGAGTTTTATAGCTTTCTTTGTTTTCTCCTACTTGTCGTAGGGGTAGTAGAATTTTCCAGATATCTGAGACAGGTGATGAATCATTCCTATTACATGTATTTGCAGTTGATTCGATAAACAAAGCTTCTGTTATCAATCTCTCCCCATACCCTATGACATTAGATTTTAAAACTGTCATCCTATCCAATCCTATTGTATGGTTGTGTGTGACTGCATGTAGTGCTATAGCTGAGCTATTCTGTAGATTTCTTATCTTATTCGGGTCAACCAATCTAGATTTTGCTAAGTTTTTATGTTCAGCTAGTCTGACTACCCCTGTTCTACTAGTTTGACCTATGTATTTGACCTGACAATCATTGCAGGGTATTAGATAAACTAAATTGTTTTGTTTTAAAGGTTCTACAGGATCCTTTAACCGACAAAGCTTGTTTCTAATTGAGTTTGTGGGTTTGAATGCCGTTTTTATTCCTGCCTTGTTAAGAATTCTGCGTAAGGCTTCCGAGGTTCCTTCCTTGTATGGAATTACTACTGACGATTTAGATTCTTTATTGTTGGTGTCGTCATTAATAATATTATTATTACCACTACTATCATTATCATTATTATTGTTATTATCGCTATCGCTAGTATCATTATTTATTTTGTTTTTGCATTTCCTTATATATTTCCTGACTAATTTATCCGGGTAATTACTAAGTTTCAAGGCTTCTTTTATGTGTATCAGTTCCTGTTTTAGATTTTCTTTGGTACTACTTAATTTTTGTGCTCTGTCATTTAAACATTTCACCAATCCTATTTTTACTGACATAGGATGGGATGATCGGAAGTCCAAATATCTGTTTGAGTGTGTGGGTTTCCTGTAAACACTAGTGTTCACCTTCCCATCTTCTTTCCTCTTTACGTTGCAATCTAACATTGGGAGCTTCCCTTCCTGAATTTCCAATTCATAAGTGAATTGAATTGCTTCAACCTTCGAGTTGATGTGTTCGAAAAACCTATCTGCATCTTGTGTTCTGAGTACAGTGAATGTATCATCTGCATACCTCCACCATACTTTTGGGGTGGCGGTGAACGTTTCAATCGCTATGCTTTCCCACTTATCCATGAATATATCTGCTACCACTGGGGATATTGGTGATCCCATGGCAACTCCCTCAGTTTGTTTGTATATCTTCCCTTGGAATTTAAATATTGTGGAAGTCATGCATAGCTGTACTCCCAGCATTATGTCCTCAAGTGGCACTTTTGTCCTAAGTTCAAGTTCTTGGTCAGAAATGAGTTCGTTTCTGACTACCTCCATAGCCATATTTATTGGTATACGTGTGTATAAACTGACAATGTCAAAACTAACCATTTTTTCTTCATTATCTAATTTTAAATTATCTAATCTAGACTAACTGCCGCACATATGTGCAAAGTTCTATGTCGAAAACCGACCGACCGACCGAACTAATTCTTATGAACTCAAACACTCACTTATGAATTGGAAATTCAGGAAGGGAAGCTCCCAATGTTAGATTGCAACGTAAAGAGGAAAGAAGATGGGAAGGTGAACACTAGTGTTTACAGGAAACCCACACACTCAAACAGATATTTGGACTTCCGATCATCCCATCCTATGTCAGTAAAAATAGGATTGGTGAAATGTTTAAATGACAGAGCACAAAAATTAAGTAGTACCAAAGAAAATCTAAAACAGGAACTGATACACATAAAAGAAGCCTTGAAACTTAGTAATTACCCGGATAAATTAGTCAGGAAATATGTAAGGAAATGTAAAAACAAAATAAATAATGATACTAGCGATAGCGATAATAACAATAATAATGATAATGATAGTAGTGGTAATAATAATATTATTAATGACGACACCAACAATAAAGAATCTAAATCGTCAGTAGTAATTCCATACAAGGAAGGAACCTCGGAAGCCTTACGCAGAATTCTTAACAAGGCAGGAATAAAAACGGCATTCAAACCCACAAACTCAATTAGAAACAAGCTTTGTCGGTTAAAGGATCCTGTAGAACCTTTAAAACAAAACAATTTAGTTTATCTAATACCCTGCAATGATTGTCAGGTCAAATACATAGGTCAAACTAGTAGAACAGGGGTAGTCAGACTAGCTGAACATAAAAACTTAGCAAAATCTAGATTGGTTGACCCGAATAAGATAAGAAATCTACAGAATAGTTCAGCTATAGCACTACATGCAGTCACACACAACCATACAATAGGATTGGATAGGATGACAGTTTTAAAATCTAATGTCATAGGGTATGGGGAGAGATTGATAACAGAAGCTTTGTTTATCGAATCAACTGCAAATACATGTAATAGGAATGATTCATCACCTGTCTCAGATATCTGGAAAATTCTACTACCCCTACGACAAGTAGGAGAAAACAAAGAAAGCTATAAAACTCAAGTGTCAAAGTCGTGTGATCACAATTGATATGATTTTGAACAATAAATTTTGTTCGAAACGTCATCCAGTAAATAATACTGTTTCACTGTGTGATGTATCTAACAAACAAACTAATATTGAATTTCAAACAGTATTCGTTAACTATCATCAGGAGAGGAAAAAAGAAGGAAATTACAACACGTTCGCCATTGATTACGATTCTTCGCCATATCCGATAATGTTTCGAGCCATCGATTCGGGCTATCTCGCGGACCCCAACCAGGGAGTCGTGACACACCAGCCGATGCTAATCTAGCACAAACATCCTTCATCCCACGACGCCACGTCATGAACTGACCACCCTTCCACCTTTTCCATTCCGTCCCAGGGCTAGCGAACAGAGACCTGTATGGAAGCCTCTGGGATGACATTCGCAGCACATATCCAAGCCACCGGAGCTGGTGTTTCCAGATGACGACACTCAATGAATCGTGATCTCCACTCTGTTCAAACTCACGCCGCCGAACCTCAGAATTACTCACGCGATGATGCCATCGAACGCAAGCAATCCTGCGGAGACAGCGATGATCGAACACGCAGAGTCGCCGCACATCCTCAGCTTGGAGAGGCCAGGTTTCACAGGCGTAGAGCAAGACAGCCCGCACCGAAGCATTGTATACTTGACCTTTGACAGCCAGGTTAACATCGCGACGGCGCCAGAGGTGTCTCAAGTTGATGTATGCCACCCTAGCCTTCATTATACGGTTGAAAATCTCATCCGTCACCTCTCCGCCATCACTCACCCAACTACCCAGATACACAAACTTATCAACAACTTCAAGCGGTTCACCCGCAAGAGTGAGTGCAGTTACAGGCTCCTGCCGATCTTGTAACAGTACTTTGCACTTAGACGGTGCAAAGCACATACCACACTGATCGCCAACTGATTAAGTGCAATTTGGGCAGCCTGCATGCTATCGCACAGTAAGACGATATGGTCTGCATACTCGAGGTTGAAAAGTCTATCTCCAGGTAGCAGATCTACACCACCTTCACGCACATCCTTCAGAGTTGACTCCAGAATGTCATCGATGGCAAAGTTAAAGAGAAGTGGAGAGATTGGGCAACCCTGTCTAACCCCACTGTTGGTTGGGAACAGTGATGATAGTTGGTTGTATGCCCTCAATCTACCTGAGGCGTTTCTGTATAGGGCTTTCAAGATTTTAACAAATTTCTCAGGTACACCTCTCTCTAACAGACAGTTCCAGAGCACAGTTCTGTCCAACGAATCGAAGGCAGCCCTAATATCAAGAAACGATCGTTGGCCTGCAATATGTGTGGCGGTGTTCCAACAACTGACGAAGGGTGAACACATGATCAATGCATCCACGACCTGAACGAAACCCAGCCTGCTCTTCGCGAATCAATCCTTCACGTATTTTGCACAGCCTGCGAAGCAAGACAGCAGCCAATAATTTAGGCGCGATTGTTAGCAGACTGATACCCCTATGATTGTCACACGAATTACGTCGACCCTTTTTAAAGATGGGGACGATAATGGCTTCGTTCCACATTGATGGTACACTCTCAGTTTCCCATACCTTCCTGAACAACCCAGTTAGAGCCATTGTGAGAATCTCGCCACCATCTTTAAAAAGAGCCGGGGGTAAATTGTCTGGGCCGGGCGCCTTATGGCGTTTTAACACTTGGAGTTCCTTACGGACCTCCGCTTCGGTGGGTGGGTCGGTGTTAACCGACCAAGGAGCACTGGGGCTAATGACAGCAGACATTGAAGCTGGTGGCCAGCTAAACTGTTTCCCGAAGTGCTCTACCCAGCGTTCCAGGCGTCTTTTCAAGCTGGTAATTGGCGTGCCATCTGCCTAACAGACCGTCTCGCTAACACCTTGTTTCTTGCTGCCAGTGGCTCGGATGAGTTGGAACAGCTTCCGACTGTTGCCACATGCAGCAGCTGACTCCATCTCACCCGCACGTTCTGACCACCAGGCTTCGCGGTCCTGACGTAAACACTGTCTTATCTTGCGCGTCAGCGCCTTTCGCTTATTGCTGTATTCGCTGCCAGCCGGAATGGACCGGCGTTCATCCAGGAGTTGCAAGGAACTCGCAGGAACCCAGTGGTTTTTGGCGGAGCATTCTTTCAAGCCGCAAGCGGCTACACTCGCTCTTTGCATGGCACCTTGCAGATGAAGCCAATGTTCATCTATACTACTTGGGGGGTTGCTGGCAGGCATTGACTGTAACTCATTCTGATATTTCAAAGAAGTAGCAGGTGCTACTAGTTTGCTCACATCAACGTTTAGACGACGCCTTTTATGAACCCTACCAAATCGCAAGACGAACTTGGCACACACTAACGCATGATCGGAGTCCAGGCATGTGCTCCAGAAGGAGCGACAGTCTTGTATGCATCCTCGCCACCGGAAACTGACTGCAATGTGATCGATCTGAGTCCAAGCTTGGTTCGCAGAGGGAGGACGCCAGGTAGCTCTACGGCGATGGTTGTGCCGGAAGTTGGTGCTGGCCAGAAATAGGTTGTGATCCGCGCAAAGCTGCAGAAGACGGTCCCCATTATCTGACCTGCGACCATGTAGTCCCCATTGACCACCTAGACGATTCTCCTCTGAGCTCAGACGCCCGACCTGTGCTATCAAGTCCCCAGCCAGCACTACGATATCCTACGCCTGTCTCAAGAGATCGCTAAGTTGGTGGTAGAACTCATCCTTCATTGCATCCGGGCTGCAATCCGTTGGTGCATAGGTAGAGACAACAAATAGACACCGCCTATCTGGCCTACTACTCCTTACTTTCGTATAACCTTCCAGCCTCACAGCACATAAACGACTGTTAATGGAAATCCAGTAGAGCAGTGCAGCTTCAGCTCTAGCGCTCAGTGCGACGCCGACACCAGCTACGCCGGATGCCGACGCCACAGGGTTCCCGGACAAGCGCAGGTGGTACATACTACTAGAACTTCCAGATGGAGAGGATAATCGAAGCACTTCACTGGGATCTTGAATGCGAGTCTCCGAAATGCAGTAGACATCGATAGCGAGGCTTTCCAACGTTCTTACCAACCCTGCAGGTTGTCCGATTTGCATCAGCGTCCGAACATTGTAGGTGGCCAGCTTGAATGCGGCACGCGGTTTCAGGATATCTGTGTTAGATGTCACATTGGGGACAACCATTTTGAGGGTTACTCACTAACATCTTGAAACGACACAGATAGGCTAGGAATCCAGACAAAGGCGAAAGGCTGTCGAAGGTTAAGAAGTCAAGGTGAGCAAAGGTAAAATACAGGAATCTAAGAATAAAAGTAAGGTTGGAAGGACACAAGTTACTTGAGGTATCATTATTTCTTGAAATCATTTTTGCGAGCGCGCGGTGAGTTTCCATAACAGTGTATTGCTTCATTCCATTTATTGTGTGAGGACTGAGATACTGCCCGGGCGCCCAGACCGAAGCAGTTGGTTTTCTTAAGGGACCACCCCCGAGCCTTTGACTTGGAGTCTAATCCGCAAGGCAGTGGAGCAGCGTCAGGTGCTGCGTTCCCATGGTTGCCGGATTCTGGAGCCCATGTACCCCATGGTAACTGCTTTTAGTCTAACTGCTATCGAAACAACCTTCCTGACATGGTAGGACCTGCAGGGACATGAGTCCCAGCCATGCCTCATCGTCCGCCATATGTGACTAAGTTCGCATCAGCAGTTAAACTGGTAAATACACATGGGAGAGGCGAAACAGGGCAGTTTATCTTTACTTCTTGAATTAAATATTAGTTGACTAGTGAATGTACAGCATAGCTTGGCTGCGTCGAAAGTCCTTTTGAAGTCCCTTCTCAAGCGTTGTGATAGGATCTCGTTACTGACATCACCAGTGAATCGCAACCTTAGGAAGACTGGTTTTTTGGAAACAGTCGGCACCTGAGTTCATGTGTTTGTTCATGAATCTAGTCGGATATCCGTTTCTACTCAGTAGATCATGAATATTACCGAGTTCTTCATTCAGTGTCTCATTTGAACAGATAACTCTAGTCCAGTGAGCCAGACATCTAACTAGATTACGTTTGTATTGTAGAGGTACGAAGCTCAGGAAGTGAGTATATTGACCAGTGGAAGTAGGTTTTCGATGCAAACGTCTACATATTGTTCCGTCTTCTCGTTTAATCGTCAGGACGTCCAAAAACGAGATAGAGTCATTTTCTTCCTCTTCTTTAGTGAAGCGTATGCCAGGATGTGTTTTATTGAATTTATATATTGAATTTATATGTCCTTGGTCTGACTTTCTTTCTTCACAACTAAAAGTTTCTCGTCGAAATATTGGCAATAGAATTCAAGATTATTATATATTACATCTCTAAGAGGACCATTGTCTAGTTTCTCCAGGAAGAAATCTTCTAGGATTGGGCCTAGAGGTGATCCCATGGCAACATCATTTGATTGTCTATACATTTCTTTATTGAAGAGGAAGTTTACGTCCATTGTGCACCTTGGAAGAAGTTCCTCTAGGGAAGACACGGGAATTCCAGTCTCTACCTTGCTTTATCAGTTCATTACCTATGTAATCAAGTGTTTCTATCAAAGGCACGTTGGAGAATAAGGAAGATACATCCAGTGATATCATGTATTTTTCCTTCACACTTAAGTTGATTTCACTTCCCGATGGGTTAAGCAACTAATTGATCAACATTACATAGTATTTATTTTAGTGTTTGTAGCTTTGATTCAGTGATTGAGATACATCAATACCTACAATCCGGTCATACAAAAATGTTTTGTTAACTACTTATTATTATTATTCCTCAAGCTGTATGTTTGGGTCCTTATATCAGTATTTCATTTTTCATTTTTCTTAAAAGTGGTAACAAATTTTTTTGATAGGTCTTCACTCTCAGCCGTCAGTACAGTCTTATTAAGCAATGTCAAACAGTACTTACCTAACTTTTTTGATGTTATGAAATTTCGTTCAACTTAGTTACCATATTACGTTCACTCTGTCGGTCAAGCAATTTGTTAGATATGGCTAAAATGTGAAGTCACTAACTTGCTTGTGTTAACTGTTGTCTTCTGTTCATTTAAAGTAATGGTGTCGTTTGAAAATTTTAAGTGTATTGTGTTTATATGCCATATTTTCCGGTCTTATAATCATCTTTCATCTCCCCATTTTGCATTTAACTGGATATTTTAGGCAGAAATACAATGGGTTATCTACTACTCACTATGATGGATTACTATCTTCTGGTATGACAACTGGTACTATATGGTACATGCGTCAAAAACTTGAAAAAATGGGTATAATAAAGTCCCAGGTATTGTATGTTTAAAAGTAACTGAAATCGTTTTAGCCTTACTTAATGAAGGTTGGTAAAAAGCCTGTGACTCCAGGTCTGTTGCTGCATCACCGCAAATATTACATACACTTCCCGTTCCCGCCTGCAATGTTTATGGACAGGATATCACAATTTTTATTGAACAAACCAAAACACAAGTGTTTTGGATTTGAAATTCGCAAGGTTTGTTGGACGTTTGTAATTATATTATTCTGTTTGTTTATACCCAGTTTTTAGCAATTGCATGTTATTAGTAATCGATGAACTGTGAGTAGTCACTGTTTTTACATGAACCCAACACAATCCTCCTTGCATGTGGTTCCAGCTTGCACTTAATACCATCATAACGTGTGCACGTACGGATTATATGCACACAACGTAAACATCTGTACTCGTAGCTCTTTTGCGAAATATCCGGTTTCTGTATGTCATTCAGTTACCTTTTTGAGGCAAGTACTTGGTACTCTAAAACTTCACATAAACCATTATGATTAGACATTTTACCTTAGGTAACTAGGAAAAAATTATAACTAGTAAATGCTCAACAGCTGTTAGTTAGGACCTCAGCAATTGGTGGGTCGAATACCTGTGCTGGTGGAAATCTAATCATCGGTCCCGGTGTAGGTTCTTTTCAACTAGAGTTTGGGAAGCTATTTGATGTTAAGGCATTTTGAATGAAAAGAAACAAGCAATACCTTGTGTTTCATACTTTCACCTTGGTCGAATGAATGACGTGCCACATAGGAACTTACTGGTTTGGATTTAGACCTCAACTCTCTAGCTAATTGGTTGCAAGCTTATCAAACTAACTGACATCTAATATCTTGCTCCCAACCAGCATCTGAAGCATATTGTACTGAAAGTACTGATCATGTATAGGGAGTTGCATAGGATTTCTAGATTTCCATTTGTTCTTCAAAGAATGCTGGTCAGCCGTTAGAACATGAGAAAGATCAACATAACTTCTTTGCATCCGTATATATATATATATATATATATATATATATATATATAGTTCAATACTACTAGTAACAAAGCAGGTCGCTTTCACTTTTTAAACTTATATTTTATTCGTCGACTTTCTTATTCTCTGTTTTTATAAAGATACAAATATTTTAAGTAATTGTTTCCAGTAAATTATCTATTTACTGAAAAGGAATTTTTTGTAGTATGTAACTGACAACAGATTTTAAACCTTGATTTTCCTATGACTTTGCTTCCAGTTAATCGGCATTACTTCCAAAGGAATCAAGCGAACTCTGAAATTCGGTGTGCGACATGGTTGGCTAGATGTCATCAATACAAGTTTCAGGGATGCTTGCGCTGTACTACTTAACAAGAATGATGTTGATGTAGATGATGATGATATGCTTAACATCCTTCAGCAAACAGGTTGCGCGGTCGATCCACATCATCGGTATCCTTGCATGGTAAATTTGGTGTCGCTTAAAAAGCCGTTTATTATGGACTCTTGGATATCTGAATGTGGTCAAGGTGAAAATGCTTTTGGATTTAAAAAGTGTAAGAAAGAAGAATATGACATTGACTCTGATGATGCTTTGGATGATGAGTATGAGGGCGTGGATGATCAGCTGGAATCATCAGCTGTAAAGCTTGAAAATCCCGACGGTAGTCTCCTTGGGTTGAAATCGGAAGAAAACCAGAATACTTTGGCTCTGTGCGATACACAGATATCCACAAACACTTCCTCTTATTTTCCTGTGTCTAGCAAATTGCAGTGTCTGGTGTACGCTAAAAGACTATTGGCGTGTAAGTAAGCATTTCTAATAAGTTTCCGAACCTGCTTTTCATAATCGGAAGTCTCCTTGTAATATAAACCTATGCATGGTTGTTAGATGTCGTTATTTAAGTGTAACGTCTTACTGAGTACCTTATGTTCTGTTAGCATTAAAAGTGGTGTTGCTAACAATATATACCACTTTCTTAAATGTTGTAATAGTGTAGTATGCTAATATAATGTGTAAAACACGGTCATTGTGGTAGTAAGTAATTCCATATTAGTTTGTTTATTAGATATATCACACAATGAAACAGTATTATTTACTGGATGACGTTTCAAACACAATTTATTGTCCATAATCATATCAATTATAATCGTACGACTTCGAAACTTGAGTTTTATGGGTTTCTTTGTTCTCTCTTATTTGTCGCAGAGGTAGTATTTAAATGCCGACGGAAAATATACAGACAAACTGAGGAAGTTGCCATGGGATCACCAATATCCCCGGTTGTGGCAGATTTATTCATGGATAGGTGGGAAAACTTAGCGATTGAAACGTTCAGCCCCACTCCAAAAGTATGAAAGAATGTATATGACACATTCACTGTACTCAGAACACAAGATGTAGATAGGTTTTTCGAACACATCAACTCGAAGGTTGAAGCAATTCAATTCACTTATGAATTGGAAAATCAGGAAGGGAAGCTCCCAATGTTAGACTGCAACGTGAAGAGGAAAGAAGATGGGAAGGTGAACACTAGTGTTTACAGGAAACCCACACATTCAAACAGATATTTGGATTTATGATCATCCCATCCTATGTCAGTAAAAGTAGGATTGGTGACATGTTTAAGTAATAGGCATAAAATGGACTCACACAAAATACTTGGAGGATCTGGACTTCACCGATGATATATGTCTGATTTCCCACAAACTGGAAGATGTGCAAATGAAAAGCAACAAGTTGGCAGAAGAAGCATCAAAGATAGGACTTCAAGTGAACATAGAGAAAACAGAGGTGGTGAAGATTCCTGGGCAACAAAAACAACTGACAACAATCAGCATAAATGGGAGGAACCTGAAAGAAACAACCTCTTTTACCTACCTGGGAAGCATCGTTTCAACTACAGGCGGAACTGACGAGTATATCAAAGCAAGAATCGGAAAAGCAAGACAAGCTTTCACTACTCTCAAATCTGTGTGGAGATCAACAACACTCAGCATCAAAAATAAGATCCGGATTTTCAACTCCAATGTGAAGTCAGTGCTACTATAGGGATCAGAGACTTGGCCAGCGCGTCATAAAGAGCATCTCAAACAAACTACAAACCTTCATGAACAATTGTCTTCACTCAATACTCAAGATCAGATGGCCGGCCAGAAAAGATCAGCAACAGGGATCTTTGGGAGCGAACCAACCAGGAACCGATTGTGCAACAAATAGGCAGCAAGAAAGGGAGATGGTTTGACCATACTCTTAGGAAACTATCAAGTGACATCACTAGACAAGCCCTTGAGTGGAAACCGAAAGGGAAGTGACGAGTTGGTCGTCCAAGGATGACTTGGAGGAGGTCATGTGAAGAGGAGATGAAAACGTGTGGGCAGACATGGAGCCAAGCGAAGACTGTAGCAGAGAACAGAACGCAATGGAGACGCACGGCTGAAGCCCTATGTTCCTGTAGGAATTAAAGGATACAATAATAATAATAAAGTAATAGGGCACAAAACTAAGTAGTACTAAGGGAAATCTAAGACAGGAAGTGAGGCATATAAGAGAAGCTTTGAAACTTAATAATTACCTTGATAAATTAGTCAGAAAGTATGTAAGGAGATGTGAAAATAAAATAAATAATGATACTAGCGATAGTGATAATAATAATTAATAACGAAATGCATGTTAAACATGCGTAGGATAGTGACAACACCAACAATAAGGAATATAAATTATCAGTGGTACTTCCATACAATGAAGGAACCTCGGAAACCATACTCAGAATTCTTAACAAGGTAGGAATAAAAGTGGCATTCAAACCCACAAACTCAATTAGAAACAAGCTTTGTCGGTTAAAGGGTCCTGTGGAGCCAATAAAACAAAACAATTCGGTTTATCTAATAACCTGTTGCAATGATTGTCAGGTCAAATACATAGGTCAAAATAGTAGAACAGGTGCAGACTAGTAGAGCATTAAACCTAGCATAATCTAGATTAGTTGAGCCGAATAAGATAAGAAATCTGGAGAATAGTTCAGCTATAAAACTGCATGCAACTACACACAACCATACTATAGCGTGAGATAAAATGACACTTCTAAAATCTAATGTAGCAAGGTGGAGGGAGATTGATAACTGTAGCTTTAATTGTCGAATCAACTGCAAACACGTGAAATAGGAATGACTCAACACCTGTCTCAGATATCTGGAAAATTCTACTACCTCTACGACAAATAGGAGAGAACAAAGAAAACTATAAAACCCAGGTTTCGAAGTCGTATGATTATAATTGATATGATTATGGACAACAAATTTTGTTTGAAACGTCATCCAGTAAATAATACTGTTTCATTGTGTGATATATCTAATAAACAAACTAACATGGAAAAGTAGTATGCTATTTCTCACCAAAAGGTCTTTCAGAGCAAAGACATGTTCTACATATTCTGTTATTTAGTATTATTCTATTACTGCTGTGGTGTTGTCAGGTCCGGATATTTGACTGACTCAAAAAGCCTCACAACTTTAAATGATTTTTTCTGTTGTTTCTATCATTACATAAATGTTGGTTAGATACAGCTAAGGATAAAAGCAATTACTGTCATAGGGTGATCTTACCTTATATTGTGGGGTACAAGCTCTCTCTGCTGGCATCTAGAGACATGATAGAAATGGGTTGTTTTTCTCTGGTGAACAGCAGTAGTTTGAAACATTCACGTTAGTTAAGAGTACAGATCACAAACACAATTAACGGATACAAAATGCACTGAAGCAAACTCGATGCATTTCTTTCTATAAAACTTGGTAACGTGTAGTAGACCTCCGTGTAATTTGTTATTAGTTATTCGGTAGTTATCAACGTTGGTTCAGTCATACACAGTACCTGTGAAGGTCGAAGTATCATTTAAACTATTCGGTTTGATATGATGACTCGACTGTTTTGTTTTTAATTGTTTAACAGTTTATTTCTTTAAAAGTTTGACTTTCAAACTGCTGGTCACTGCTTCAGAGTCCCTTTAGTTCCTACCTGAATACTTGGTTTGTATGTTCGGATATTAATTAATAGTTTAGGTTTATAATGTCTCATATGATGCTCATATGATGATCACCCTATCTCTATGGTCTTTAAAGTCTACAAGGCAAAGAGTAATTTACCCAAATCCCTACGTACCCGACTCATCTGTATTGCTGAAGCTTTGGCTATCGAAACAGAAAAGCCAGATCTCTGTGTACAGAAGCTCGTTCAACCCTTCCAACTTTCATGGTCTTAATCCCTCTATGCTAAAGTATGGTAATCCTCAATCATATTTCAGCTCTACCAATTTTTCATTTTTGTTTATTCAATTTGTATGCTCTTCCTTATTACGTCAATTGTTACTATTACTACTCTCACTTTTAACTGTCCCCGGCATTATTTCACTTGTCTCACTTGTCATTCTAAATCAATTCCTTTTTACAACATTAAATTCTATGCTGTTAAATTTCACACAATATTACGTAACGTTTTTATTTTATTCGATTTGTCTACTAATCTTATAACTGCACACCCTTTTTCAAGTTCTATCCATCCCATGAATTATTCTATATATGACATTAATTTGCTTTGCCATTTGACATTTAACTACGATTATAATCACAAACATTTTAGTTTTAATTGCATTTCATATTATTATTATTATTTTATGCATTCACATCTATGATTCAATTCCCTCACCGGATATAACTTCTTAATAAAACTATATATATACGATTGTACAGCTTGATGATAAATTCGTTGAAAAGAGTCTCTTTGCTGAATCATTTGTTTGGATTTTCTATATGTTACAATGGGAATTTTCCATGACTATGGATACTGCAATAAAAGTTCAAGTCTCTAGAACCTTTTTTACTTTTATGTTAATGATCATAATAAGGTGCATCATGAGTTTGAGGTTCAATTCTTATGCAATATATATATATATATATATGATGTCAGCGCATGATGAAATCCTCCATGCAATTAAACAAAATCCCTACCAAACCAATACTTGAAAATTAATCTGATGCTCACTAGTGACTGGCCCTGGGGTCCTAGTGGGAAGCCGTTACCAGTAGGGTACAGCAGGTTGAAGATGAGGAAGTAACTCATCTAAGAAGACATTGCGAAATGGTCGCGCTATGTCGTGAATTGGCAGAAGTTGGAATTCAAGGACCATTGGATCGGGTCCCAGTGGCTCAATGGTCTACGAGTTCGCCTTGTAACCAGAAGGTCCTAGGTTCGAATCCCGGTGGGTGCATACTGCTAAAGAGTCCCAAACTAGGACGAAACAGCTGTCCAGTACTCCCAGGTTTTCCAGTGGTTCTCTAACTGATGTCAGCTCATGATGAAATCCTCCATGCAATATATAAGTTGTATGTTTCCTGTTACTTTATTTTCCCTTAATTTTCTGTCTTACTGTTAGCTATTCCCTCACTCAAAATTGATGAATCTATATCAGTTCAAATAGTTCGTATCCTCGCCTTGCATGAGTGTACAATGGCTGAACTTCTGGCGGTAACAAAAACAAGTTTGTACAATTTACGTCGCACTGTGAAAAGTTTAGTTACAATTGGCGCATTGAAAGCCGTGAAACGGTCAATGGAATCTACTTTTGTTCTCTAGTACGTTATGTATCAGTTTATATAGCTTTAAACAAGTACACTTTTTAATTATCTTAATTACTTATTAACAAAATTTGCAGAGTATTTGAGTGTAATGATTTTCTATTCAGTTCGGAAGAGTATAGTCAGCAGATAAACACCAATATTATGATAAGAGTTGAGTTTATCACAAATCGTACCAACACGCCAAATTTATCAAGCAGGGATATGAGTGAGCACAAGTAATTATATTAGAGAAATAGGCTAAACAAATTATATCATGTAATTGTACGCAATAAAGGGTTACAAGTTTTCAAAGGTTAGTCAAATATTTTATATTGTTGTGAGACTTCATCAACTGTTAATTCACCAATTCTTCACACAGTCAGACTTAAAACATTTTTTTTAGTCTCATGTTTTCAGGTGTTAATTAGACCCAGAAGAATCATAAAACTTTGGAAAGGACTTCTTTACAAAAGCATTCTTTTGCCCTTTTCAAGATTAGAATAAAAGTTGAAACCATTCGGCAGATATTATGCGGAACTTTCTTTTCCCAGCTATTATCTTATTTAATCTAATCTCTACCCATCTACTTCAGCTTCGACAACTGGGTAGTATCATCAGCCCTTTCACAACAAGTATTGCTCATAGCCTGATATCTGAAAAATCTGTTTTGAGTAACTGAATTCTAAATAGGCAGAATGTAGTTATTGGGAAATGTATACCAAGAAATTTTGGAAGTAGGTTAATTTAAATGTCTCATTGAATGTATCTAAGGAGTTTCCTTCCTTCAATGTTGCTTCTTGTCTTAAGACTAATTTATGTGTTAACTTTTTGAAAATTTTTCTTTCACAGTTATAGTTTAGTGACTGATGCGGATAGAGAAGAAAACCTAAAAATTAAAATAAATAAAACCACTCCCGTATTGCAGACGTTGCCAACTATTCGTAAGTCTAGACTCATTTATTGGAATTTTTGTATTAATTTACAGTGAGATTTCTGGCTCCGATAGATTATTGAAGTTGTTTTTTATTCCTGTACGTTCCCAGTGGAACATAGGGCTTCAAGCTAGAGGCTTGAAGTTTCGGCAGCAGTGGTGTTTATTTTTACGGGATGGGGTTGCTAGCCTCATACCCAACATTACCTCTTTACCAGCCTTATTACTGGCTTGACGAAGTGAAGGAGTGCGTCGGCCGGGGATCGAACCCCAGACCACATGCGTGGCTGGTGAGCATTCTACCGATGTACCACTAACGCAGATTACTGCAGTAGTAACTAGCATTTTGAAGTTTTAAAGTGAATTTCCTTTGAAACGTGATTTCCAGTAATTTGTAGATTGAGTTCATGCAGTTGATTTAAGAAATCACGTTTTTTTAGTTATATAATAGGACATTAGATCAAGCGTTGAAGTCTCACCAGGGAATTTGATGTGTCTGCATGGTGAATTTAGCGCAACTTAAATGTGAAGTTTCACCGTGGTTCTTTTTAAAAGCAAAAAAGTTGAGCTTCAAAACATGTGATCCACTGGATGCTACATATCACAAGTGACACTGAGTTTGTAATGGTAAACTGAATTATCCTGAAACCACTGCCGAAGCATTGGAAACCAACACCAAAACGATTCTGATTGACCTGTGAGACCTACTACAGTTTGTGGACAGTGTATATTATACAGAATTACTGTTCTTTTTGTAAAGTGTCTTAACAGTTATCTTCCACTATAACATGCAGCAAAATGTTGTGTGGCAGCTTAATAATAGTCTATGCGAACAATCTGCATTTTTGTTAATTTATATGAAGACGTAACTTTTTGTACGTTTTCATTAAGTATTCTTTTATCTAAAAACTTAGTACTTAACCCCTACATTAAGATGCGTTCTCTGTTTGTGTGTTGTCAATCAAGCGTTGATTTTCGTGTTTTTCTATCTTGCTGTTTGAGAGGTGGTATCTGTCACTCGTGAAGTACTACTTTTTGCATTTTTATAGCTTTGCAATTTGCAATTGATTGTTTTCTAGAAACACAAAGACAAAATCGTCGTGCATTTATCCTTAATTATTTGGCGAAATATCGTATAATTGCTTCGGAATACTCGTTACGTCAATTAATATGGGATCATGAACGCTCAATCGGTCTGAAAATCCGCATGGATCGTAAATCATTACGTAGAATTTTAGACGAATTAATCGCAGCTAAACTGGCTACAGTCCTTAAGATGAAATCTCTCAAAGGAGATGTAAGTCATCTTGAATTTTGAGGTTTACCAAAGTAACAGTTCGTATCGAACATTTGTGAGTATCTACACTGGTGGCACTGATTTTATGTAGAAACTTTTAAGATAACAGTATTAATAAAATAGTAATTAAAGTCAGCTAATTAAATCAGCAGTAGAGCATTATGGAGCTACCGAAAAGAGGCAACCTCAAGTGGTGTGATAAATTATGAGGTATAATGGTCACGAAATAAAAATTCATATACAAATAGAGAAGAACAAAATCCTAAACATTCATGCAATTTGTCAGTATACCTCACTTCTTGAGGAAGTTAACACAGAGGGTGTTAACAAGCTTAATAATGAAACACAGCAGGAAATACCAAAATCAGAGGGCACCAAACAATTTTTCATCACTACTGTCTTTCATTTTATCAATCTGACGAATCTGGAGGTGTAGAGATCTTTTAATTTATTCCTCTCCTTATTGGAAAAGAAATCTAATTACTAATTCACATTGGTTATCATTCGTTATCCCATTTGTTAAGGATGTTGTGTCTATGCTATTAAGTAACTTAAGATTTACAATATCTGGTATGTCGCTAATTTACTTGAATATGTTGGTATAATTTTGCCCAAGTTCCAATTAACCTTTAATTTTTCATATTTGGGATGGAGAGATGTCGGATACACGTCGGACACACACTATCACTAAGAATGTTGATATTTCAATTAAGCAAATATTTCTATGCCTCCTAAATATGTACACTTTGAAACTAATTGCTCCACTTTTAAAGCAGTTAATACGTTCACAAAATTTACACATATCTTGGAGACGAAACGGAAGACTACTCGTTTGTATATTGAGAAAAAAACTGACTGCCTTTTACCACCTGTTTCCCTGATAAGCCTGAATAGTTGTCTGGTGTTGCCAATCGCCGATGCCTTTTCCATCTCTTTCGCTTTTGTCGCCCACCATTGTTCACGGTCGTTGCGAAGACTTCTTGTTAGTTTGCGTCTGAGTAGCTTTCCCCCTCATCATAATCGAGGGTGACAGGAATCAGTCTTCTTGCGTCAATCAGTTCGGATGAGGCGGTAGAGATCCAATGGCTCTTACTAACTTTAGGTTTCAGGTTATTAACAGCTTTTACAGCTGTGTCTACAGCTAACTGCATATGATCTTAGCTCAAAGAGCCGAGAAGCTACCTCAGAGGGAGTCCTGCTGTCAACCTCAGGTACACGTTTCGCTATTTCCTCCTTGAATAGGGACTCAGTGTCTCGATGTAGTTGGGGACTTAACTGTTTCACTGCCAGCAATTTCTTGTGTCCGTTTAGTCGTAGGCATAAACGTGCACGGACGAGAGCGTGATCGGAATCTACGCACGTGTTCCAAAAGGAGTGGCAATCTTCTACTGACCCTCGTCAACGATACCCTACCGATATGTGGTCTATCTGAGTCCAGCGTTGATTTGTGGATGGAGGCCGCCAGGTTACGCAGTGTCTCTCTTTGTGCCTAAAGTTAGTGCTGACTAGGAACAGTTGATTATCTAAACAGGACTATAGAAGATGACCACCGTTGTCGGTTCGTCGACAGGGAACTTCATACGTACCACCTAGATACTTCTTAGTCTGGCACAACTTCCCTACTTGGGCATTAAAGTCACCTACTGAAACAACTATATCTGAACGGTTTGCTTTTTTCAGTAAAGTAGACAGTTTCAGGTAGAAGTCATCCTTTAGTTCGTCTGAACTGCAGTCGGGTGGGGCGTAAGCGGAGACTACGAAAAGACAACGACGGGTAACGCCGTCCTTCCTTCGTTTCACGGACCCATTCAGACTGACCGCACATATACGACTATCTACTGGGATCCAGTCAAGTAATGATTTTTCTGCCTAAACACTCAATGTTATCCCTAAACCTGCGAGTCCTCGCGAGCTAGCTATCTTGGGTGTTTATGTGGCTGTCATCGTTGTTTGTGGTCACAGAGTGAGGTGAAGATGACTCACTAGCCTGAACAATAGAACTGGTTTCAGTTGTGAATCCAGACGATGTAGATGATGTGGGTAAAGGAGAATGATGCTCGGGGAGGCTTCGTGTGCTCTTGGAAGTGTGTGGGTGGTTGTTACTTCCCGGCTGCACACCGTGGAAGTTGGTTGATTCTTCGAGTACCTGAAACAGAGAGAGGGTTAGTGTCGCGTTACCGCAGAGCCTAGGGTACAACTGCTTGAGGCAGGTCACACACGGCCTGTATGAGCCGGTTTCTAAGAATGGTTCCGTATTAGTAAGCTTACCGCCAGTTTCGGACGACCGTAGGGTAAGTTCGATGTACAATTGTTGGCATCGACCTTTTCTAACCCCCTCCATCCAGAGTGGAGAGACAGCATAGCTGGCATGTTGGTCATCTGAGGGAAACACATTACCGCTGTTACATCCCTGTTCCCCAGCACTACAACTTCGCTCACAGACCCCCAGCACAGTGTATAAATATCCTTACACTAAGCCGGTGATTGCTTTTAGTCTAATCGCTATCATAACAATCTTCCTGGCATGGTAGGATCTGCAAGAACGATAGCTGCTGCCAGTGTAGTTTGTTGGTTCATTGCGATGTGCAAGCCCGACCACCACGTCAAGGGAGCTGTCGGTCGGGATTGAGAAACAAGAGGAGTGATACTTTGAATTTAGTATAAGTAATTTGTAATCATTTCCTATGTCAGTCTGATAAACGGTTGACAGTCCTCACTTTATGGCTGAGTCTGAGCTAGCACCTGTCAAAGCAGTCTATTATATTGATTTAGTTGCCTGACTTTCAACTATTAGACCGTATGCTGATGTCATTTTAAATAATTCGATCGGTAACGGAATTATATTGCAGGCTCCTGGAAACGAGATATTACTCAGTCTAAAACACAAATATACATCAGAATGCTGAAATGTATTCGTTCATCTTTTGCAGATGTAGAGACGCTTATATACTGGCAGTTTTATAGGGCATTGCAGAATGTGAACACAGTGTCATTGGAATGCAAAAACTAAACAGCTTGTAGTTAAGAAGCCGATTAGGGGAAAATAGCATCAGAAGATAATGCATGGATTGGAAAAAAGTAATGCTGAACTATTGATATCTGAATTACACAAGGCAATTTGCATGCAAGTGGTCCGGGGTTCGATCCCCTGCCGACGCACACCTGATATCAATTGGTCGGCCTGCAAAATTTGGGCTACCGATATCACTTGCTGAAAATTCCATACTTATACCAAAAATACGGTGTGGAATCAAGTTGTAATAAAAAAAGGTTGTGAAGCCGACTTTAGGAATTTAGCAGCTAAAAGGGTTGGAAAGTATAACTGGTTCATCTTAGACTATCTCATTTCATATTAATCAGAAACCTGGATTAATTTTACTGTTTATGTTTTTCTGGAACATGCTACGCATACGTTTTCTTCTCAGGTTACTTTCATCTGCCAACCAGATGTTAAAGAAGATGATCCATTAATATTGACAGCTATCAAGAACATAGATCTTGCAGCTATACGTAATCTCCCCATACAAGATGAGAAAAGTTCTGTTGTATTTAGTGCGAATCAAGTTACGAAGATTGAAGGTGTTGATCCTTTGTCACCCGAGGTATGTCCTAACTTTTGTGATTTATGTCAACACATCTACTCTAATTTCCGTCAAATAGTTTTCAAATCTTTAAATATTCCCATTTTTAATATTAGAACAAGACATATAAGCGAACAATATTGTTTTCAATTAGATCTTTTACAGGCTTTACTCTAATTTACATAGATGTATCTATAAAAAATTCTAACCAATGACGGTGATTTTGAGAATCAAATAATAATAATATTAATAATAATAAAAATGTGGTGAATGTTTTGAACGTATTTAATAACGGTGATTATAATTATAACAAAATATTGATAATAAGGTTTATGCAAGTGATAAGAACAACAATGTATATAAGTGTATATGTAGACAATTCAGTAAATAAATTAGATCAAATCTTAAAAGGTGAAGTGGACAGATAATCAGAATTTAAATAGATATCATAAAAGTACGAAGGAGGTGGAAAATAAGAAAGGGTGGGAGGGTTTTGAATAGAATTCACCTAGGCCAAGGGAGAGACAAAGCTAGAACAAACTTCTTTTGTATACAAAGACTAGGATTGTTCTCTCGAATTCCCATAGCTTCGGCTAGGTGTAAAAGACGGATTCGAATTCCGTTCGAAAGGCTCGATGGAATACGATAGATAACTTTGAAAGCACTATTTTTGTCCACTTGGTGACCGCTATCAATCAAATGAGCCAAAATAGAACTTCGTATAGATTTTATTTGACCTTTTCCGAACCGTGTGCGTCGGTGGCACAGCGGTTAGGACTCTCGCCGATCACGCACATGGTCCGGAGTTCGATCCTCTGCCGACGCACAACCGATATCTATGGTTGGCCTGCAAAATTTGGGCTACCGATATCACATGCTGAAAATTCCATACCTGTACCGAAAATACTGTGTGGAATCAAGCTGTAATCAAAAATAAAATAAAAAAATAAATAACTCATCGAAGAAGACATTGCGAAGTGGTCGCGCTATGTCATGAATTGGCAGCAGTTAGAATTCATGGGCCTTTGGATCGGGTCCCAGTGGCTTAATGGTCTACGAGCTCGCCTTGTAACCAGAAGATCCTGGGTTCGAACCATGGTGGGTGCGTACCGTTGAAGTGTCCTAAACTAGGACGAAACGGCCGTCCAGTGCACCCTGTTGGTTTTCCAATGGTTCTCTAACTGATTTCAGCTCATAATAAAATCCTCCAACTAATCAAACAAAATCTCTACAAAACCAATGCTTAAAAATTAATAGTGATTTGCAAAAATAAGAAATCACACCTCACTGATTAAAAGCAATCTAGATTTGGCTGAATCAGTGCAACATCATGGACTAAGGCTGCTCGTATTTTTCGTGAACAGTTTTCAGTCATTTGATACCAGCATCTACTAATGAGCAATACAATTTAAGAATCAACTCTTTTTCTTCATCATATATCGCATTAAAAAGCAACAAAGCAGCAGATGGGAACGAATACACATTTCGGTATTTTATTAACTTAATGTGTTCTGTTCAACTGCTTTTAGGCGATGACTATTGTCCTGCACAAAATGCCATTGTTACCGAAAATGCGTCGAAGATCACTGATTCATGAATATTTATTCCATGTGGTTTATGGCCTTACTGAAACGTCACGTCCTGTCAAACCTCAGGTAAACTTTTACGCTTTTAAAACTGTAGACACTTCTCAAGGGAAAATTGTAAGTGTTAACTTATCATGTGATACTTTGGGAGAAATTCTAAACAAATCTGAGAAAACTGATTTGTTGCGCATGCTCACTAAGTCTTGTACGATTATGCTTGTGTAAATAGTGGTCTTGGATAACATTGCTGTAAATCCACTGCAACAATTTGGGCGTCCGGAACTGTACTTTTTTTCTTGTTATTTCTTGTGTTGCTGATTTCTCTTCATTGTGCTTATGCAAACTGCAGAAATTTAGGACTTCTGTAAAATACTTATATGTCATAAGTGTTTATCACTAATGGTTTGAGTTGTAGTTATGATAGAGAAAGTTCTGCCTCTTACTTTCTACTCATCTCTTTAAAACGAACTCAGTTTGTTTATGCATGTGCATGCATGTTTGTGAGCATGATTTTAAACTGAGCATTTAAAATATACTTTGCTGTTCAGCTGTATTATGATACCGTAGCATTGATTCTATGTTTATGTCTCAGTTGCTTGCTGAGAGTTTTATGACAGTTATTTGGGCTCAAGAAATACACACTTAATTATATATCTATAGGTTTATATTTGAAACAAGTCATTGTATTGTTATTTCACAATACTGTGTTTTTTACCTCAGTAACTTACGGTTAAGTCCTCGTAATCCACATAAACAGTATTTAAAAACCATTTTCTTTTGAGAATATGTTGAGAAGACATTTATTCTCTGTTATCTGGTACCTGAAATGGAAATTTGTACAATATTTGCATTGCTTTTATAATTAGTTGACGACTTCTGTCGTTGTTGAGTTTGCAACTGTAACTCAGTAGACTAAGTAAATGCTTTCTAAATGCGGAGTCATATGTTTAAAAATCACTCACCTGCTGTTTGTTCTTTCGATTTAACTGAAACCCATTGGTCACATTAATTGGATACAGCTTCACAGCCTCGTAAATTGTGTGTACATTTATACTGTTATTTTTATCTTCATTCTTATTGATTCTTCTCGTCTTATCTCTTTTAGTCTGAAAGTGAACCTCCAGTCTATTGTGATGACGACACATGGCGCAGATATGTAGCTCCATTAGAGCCATTAAGAGGTAAAAACCTGTGCTTGCTTTTATGATTCTTTCCCAATCTTGTTATATGTGAGAGTACAGACGCATATCTGTTCAGTGAGGTAGTATATGCCGTGCTTGCTATTATTACTATTACAGTAAGTAGTTAGTTTGTATCACAGAGTCCTTTCTGTTTGCTTATGCCAAGTGAAAAGGGCTATTATTTTCAATATTTTCATTGCGTATTAACCGGTAACTAAGTTTGTTTATTCTTTTTAACTTGTTTACTTCCTTCGTAGAAATGAGCAACGGTTGGTTTCTGATCAGTGAAGTTTTACGTGGCATTCCCTTCGGTTTATATTTACGACTTACAATCACCACATCACTGCCACGCATACTGTGTCGGTGGCTTAAACTCGATCACTTGTTAACTGATCTAAATCGAGAAGAAATTGAGCATTTAGATGCAGAGTTAGCACGTTTTCACAATGCCAATATGATAAATCAAAAGGATATTCCTCTCAGAGATTTGTTACGATATCCCTTACGATACGTTGAACTACCTGGAGGATCACGAGGTCTGCTTAATGATTGGTTATTGTCTGCCAAAAAGCTGAGAGCAGTTTCCGCGATGATTGAAGATCTGTCAAGTGTTACTGGTCTAGTAACTATGCAGCAGAAAAATGTTTCTCAGGCTAAGACAAGTGTAAGTTGAGGAGGTCATCCTTTTGTAATTTAGTGACTGTTTAAAATGTTTATTTTGTTTCTTATTGTGTTAAATTGTATTCATTTTTAGATGCTTGGTTTTCTTCACCGTCGCGCAAGTTTACTAGATACTCGCTGTGCTAATCCAGCTTACCAAATTCTGACTCGTTTGGAACGTACAGAAGTTATACATTTTGACTTTCAAACTGCCGCCGATGTTGCTAGTTATTGGTTGACTTGTGAAACCATTGCCCGCAATACTCCCCTTGGTAAATACGTGTTTAATCTTAATTTCTGATTTGTGACTAATAATTCCCTTATTTTCATCTATTCCGAAGTCATCATTGTAGAATATACGTTCATATGTTTTTAACGGTTGAGTCCATATTCTTACGTTTGGTAATCATAGTAGGTTTTCGTTTTGTAGTCTGTTAGAACCAATGAGAACACTGCTTACTTTGGATTTACAGACCCCTACCATATAGTGTTTAGGAAATATCCAGTGTCATACGACTGAATATAAATTCAAGAAAAATGAGAACAAGTTTTGCAGGATAAAATAAGTTTCTGAACATATCTTATTATTCTTTGGATTTGTGCTTCATTATAATAGGAATTCAGCTTCCAATATATTAACTACTTAACCTGTCTTTAAAACTGGTTGCATCTCAGTCCTCAGACGTAGGATGGGATAAAAGTTTGTACAAAGTAGTTCAGTTACTTGTTTTAATTTAGTTGTTCACCATCAATTTGGTGTCCATATCCTGGAATTATTTTCTAATGTTTTTGGCTTAGTGAAGAGACATCTTGAAAATAGGGGACAAAATTACTCAGTGCTGGGTCAGGAGGAAACATACTTTGAGACACTTTCTCCTACGTGACCTATAAACTAGTATTTAGTCTTTTCATTCTGTCTGTTTCTCTTTCACTAATTTATTTTTAATATATTATCTACTTATGCAGGTAAATTACAGGTACTAAAATTTTGAAGTACCACTGGCTTACAAAATAAAATATTATTATTAAAATTGTTAGCGTCTTTGTATTGTTAATATTATCCACTCAAATATGATGGTTATTGTAGTCAAAAGGTATTTGACACTATATGAAAGTGTGACATTTTCAAGTTTCTCAGTAGTGCGAATCTATGAATATGACTGACAGCCTAATTTTGAGATAAACAAGATGATGCAGGTGTATTAACATGCTACTTATGAAATCATAGAGATAATTCGTACCTCAAGGGAAAGCTGTTTATATTATTGCGTTCTCTGATCTGGATGGCTTAATTACGAGGTTTTCGTTTATTTTCTAGACAACATCTTCAAAACGAAATGAATTTTCGGTATTCCTCAGTAATGTAGTAACCATCTATCCTGATGCATTCAAACATGATTGGTTGTCTTCGGAGACTGTTGTCTAGAACGCAACTACGAAGTCATGTTACTTTAAATATTAGATAGCACGATATCTCGCTTCTGATTGCATTTTATCCTCTCCTTTTTGTCCGTCAGAGGTGTAGATGAAAATAGTATGAAATTGTTCTGTTAATACCTGCCTTTATGTAAACTAAGGGTACTGATGAAAGATATGTTGACAGTTTGATTTTTGTCAGCATATTTGTTCATTTGTAAATTGTTTATGTTTTACACTAATGAGTTTTGTAATTATTACTCATCTATACAATCCAAATAATTGAGCGGATACAATGATTTAAAATTATTTCTTGCATCTAACTAACTCCTATTCTCATTTTCTCTAAGATGTGCTGGTCGTCTGCGTGTATGCTTTTTTATCGTCTACTGATTTTCATTTGTAGGTCATAATTCTTGCAAGGATGAAATAGATTCAGAGCTTCTGCCACCATTAACACCAAGAATATCTACTCAACCTGTGGATGATGGTGCATTAATTAATTTGGACTGGTCAGAAAACATATTGTTTAAGTTTAGAAACGTTTTGTCAGATGGTACAGAAGTATTTCCATGTGGTGCTTGCGGGTATCATCCTACTGATTGTACTTATAACGTTCGTAATTGGGGTTCAACACGCAGTAAATCTAAACGTAAAGGTGATGGTGAACGTCTTTTAAATCTTTTGGGAGAATTTACCGGTATGGATGATACTTACGGGTTTAATGCTCCTAGTGATGAACCTTTCTGGCCCTGGTTTCCTAGTTTGTTTGCCGGTTAGTTTTATATTTGTTCATAAGTTAACTTATAATTTTTGTATAGGTAGATTTGATCCCGCTATATTTTTTTTAACTTTATAATATTGCGTATTGTGATTGGGTAAAATAGTCACTCTTAATTAAGTAAATTTCATTTTGCTTTGTCTGCACTCAGTTTTTAGTGGTATCTGAGAAATGTTTCTTTGATTGATTTATAATCACGTTTCGCCACATCATTTAACAGTCACCATCATAACTGACATGTTTTGATAAACTGTTAAGGTGATCAAATAGTTCGTATCATTTATCATCAGTTTGGTTTGGTGATTAAAACTTCCTTCGGACATACGCTTAGATTGCTAGGTAAACTGTCGCCTTCTTATTAAAATGAGTACCGGTTTGTTTCTCTTGTCTTATATAATGCGTATGCAGTGCAAAGATTCTAGGTCCACTGTAAGTCGATATTATACTTAGTTTATTTCGTTATCAAGGTTACAAAACCTCGATATTGCCTCTTGAAATTATCTTTCCCTTCAGCTTTATTATTATTATCCTAAAACATTTATACTGTCAACCATTATGTAGTAGCTTTGATGTAACAAGACATTTTGATTAAAAACTAACAACTTTTAGTTTCTATTCTCATGTGTGTTAGTCACAGTTCCTAATACAATGTTCGACAATTAGCTCTCTTAGTTCACTTAATTTCAATATCAAGAAGATTATTCAATTTTGGGTAATGTAAATGATCATTATCATTCATGAATTAGATTGTTAATTTTTATATTTCTTCTATAGACCTTGATGTCCCCACGATTTTAAAATTTGTTGATACACCACAAGTCGTCAATAGACGGTCAGTTTGCCGCCGTTCTGCAAGGATTAATCGATCCAGTTTTTATGAGGATGATCCTACTAGGAAACGTGGAATGCACGAAATGGATTCATTGTCAGATGATATTGATCAGAGAGCAGAATCTCGAGATACTGATAGTATCTTGAAGGATATTCGTCAGCAAAATTTATTAGATACCTCAGTGAGTCATCGAAGTACTAGTCAACGCTTGCAAAAAGAGCTTTCATCATTTGAAAATAAGGAAAATGTTATCAGCGGGTTGTCGTCACACGTATCATCCAGTTTTACTCCTTGTCAAACAGGTAACATTCAAGTAATGCTTGATATTTTTTGGTGAAAATTTTGGTTGTCATTTTTTTAACTTACTTTTATTCTGTCATGTGTTTAGCACAAACAGAACAAAATGGTTATTTGTGACAGAATTTATCTACGCTAAAGCTAGTTGGAGCCGTGGCTATGAATCACGGTCGGTCGGTCGGTTTTCGACATAGAACTTTGCACATATGTGCAGCAGTTCAATTCGCCACACTCCATGCAGCACACAAAGAAAGAGAAGAAAGTAGAAGAAATGCATAATATAGACAGTAAACAGAGGTGTGAGACAAAGGAATAGTAATAATGGAGAACAAAACAGTTTCATTGGAAATCATAAGTCACAAGGAGTGGATGCATCTGCGCCAGCCATTGAGAACGATTTTGAGCCATGTCACCAATTGTTTCCAACCATTGGTTTTTACCGTCCCGAGGACCCCAACCAGGAAGTCTATACCTTCCTATGTGGCTTAGACTAACTTGTGGATTTCATTGACTGGTGCCATGTTTTCGTTTGACCGCCGCTAGCTCTTTTCCAGCCTGGCCCTGTATCAGCTAACATTGCCCACTGTTGAGGAAGGCGATGACTAGGCATACGTAGCACATGTCCTAACCATCTCAGTCGATATAATTTCACAGTTTCGTCGATTGATTTCCCAGCCTTACCTAGCACTCGACGCCTAACCTCAATATTGCTCACCTTATTATACCACTTCACGCGGGAGATAGAACGCAGGTACCTATGATCGAAGACAGCTAATCTTTTCATGTCTTCTGCTCTCAATGGCCAGGTTTCACAGCCATAAAGGAGGACGGAGAGGACTGTTGAGCAGTACGCCCAATCTTTGGTCGATAGTCAGATATCGTGTCTACGCCAGAGACGGTGTAAACTGGCATATGCGAAACTAGCCCTCTGTATTCGTGCTGAGATTTCGTCGGAGATCAACCCGTTGGGGCTGATGGTACTTCCGAAGTAAGGGAAGCGGTCAACGTGCTCTACCACTTCACTTCCTTTTTCTAATCTAGGGGTCGGTGAAGTCCAATCCTGCAGCATCATCTTACATTTTACAGGGGCGAATCGCATGCCAAACATTCGTAGATTGTTGCTCAAGGTGTTCAGTAGACTCTTCATTTTATCAGCGTCCTCGCCTAGAAAAACTAAATCGTCAGCATATTCTAAGTCGACGAGATTATTCCCTGGTAGCAAGTCAATCCCTGAGTCGCTGAAGTCAGCGGTTAGGGTTAAGTCCATTAGTACGTCTATGGTGAAGTTGAATAGGAATGGGGATAATGGGCATCCATGACGGACACCACTAGTCGTCACCACTTCAGATGACAACTGGCCATAAGTCCTCACCTGGCTGCATGAGTACGAGTAGAGTGCCTTAATCAGTGCAATGTATTTTCTCGGCATTCCCTTTACAGCCAAGCATCGCCAGAGAACCTCTCGGTCGACAGAATCGAATACCGCCTTTAGGTCAAGAAATATTATGATTTTCGGTCGCCGGTAGGAATGCCTATGTTCTAGAATCTGTCGGAGGGTGAAGATATGATCAATACACTCTCTTCCTGGTCTAAATCCTGCCTGGTTTTCTCGTGTTCGTGCCTCCCGAGCACCACTTAGTCTACGCAGTATTATTCAGCCTAGGATTTTAGATACTATATTAGTCAAGCTAATCCCTCTGTGATTATCACAAGAAGACTTGTCTCCCTTCTTGTATATCGGGATGATCAGTGACTTACACCAACCCGATGGGACTTCCTCTGATTCCCAGACGCTGCCTAGAACCTCAGTTAACGCAGACAGTAAACTGTCTCCACCGTACTTAAATACCTCTGGAGTCATTCCAGCAGGTCCCGCTGCTTTGCCTTGTTTCAGATTAGTGACAGCTTTAGTAACCTCGGTTAAGGACGGAAGACCTGTGTCTATATCCCATTCAGGGAGGTGTCGGATGTTCGGCAGGTTGAGCGTGGCTGTAGGCCAATTAAACTGCTCCTCATAGTGTTCTTTCCAGCGTTCCAGTCGTCTATCCTGGGAGTTAATTATGGTGCCATTTTTCTCCGAGATTGTTTCGCTTATCATTTGCCTTTTGCCACCTGTTTCCCTGATAAGCCGGAATAGTTGTCTGGTGTTACTAATCGCCGATGCCTTTTCCATCTCTTTCGCTTTTGTGGCCCACCACTGTTCACGGTCGTTGCGAAGACTTCTTGTTAGTTTTCGTTTGAGTAGCTTTTGCTCCTCATCATAATCGGAGCTCGGTATGAATCACACTTATTGTGTAAGAGCTGGTAATACTGAGCAGCTATCTTGGATGGTGTAGTGGAGCGGGATTCAAACCCCTGATTTTCACTTGATTTGATTTGATCAAATCAAATCAAGTGAAAATCGAGTGAAAAACAATGGAACTATATAAATGAATTTAGGAAGTCGTGTGATTACCTTGATATGATTATGAGCAATAAATTGTGCTCGAAACGTCATCAGTAAACATTACTGTATAACTGTAAGACTTTATCAAAACAAAATTTACCCATAATGGAATTACACTCTACCACAGTGCACAAGTCTTATTCTTATATCGGGATTCAAACCATTGGGCGATTGTCTGAAGGTGAAGCGCCTAAGTCAGTGAGTCACATCAGTAGGTCTGAAGAAGTAAAATAAAAGATACCCATGAAGAGTTTAAGAACACAATCCTTCACTGATTGTATTTATTCAATCTGTTCTAACATAGCATTCGACGGAGTCCTAATAAGTGTATATGTGGGAGATATTTTAACAGTTTAATAATTGGCAAATAAATTTGATGACCAGTGATCTCATACCTCATAACTTACTTTACTTTACTTCGGCTATCTCCTACGGGAGGATGAGCCGGCTTCATGAACATCTCGAATCATCGCTGCCCAGGAGCGGCGATCTGATGCAACGTTTTGCGACAGGGTTATCCAATTAAGAGAGTTCATGAAGTTTCATGGGAATTTGGTACGAGTTATGTCCCCAGAATCGCTCGGCCTTTTGTTTGAGAGTGCAGCTCTAGCCTTTACACAACCAAGTGTGACCTACAAGGCAGTAGGAGTGGAGTAGGGAGTCCACTATCCATTGGCAGCCGGTGACCGGAGTTCGGTTCATACGCCTTTTTGAATGGGGCCAGACATCCAGGACATCCAACAAGCCCTTTGTCCATACGTCTGCCGGTGAGCTCCAGTGAGCTTCATACGCCAGTCGTTGGAGGTTTGGAGTCAGGGTTTAGCCATCTCCCCTAGACTGTCATCCAATGGACAGTCAACCCGGTGAAGAGCGCCGGGCATCCGCTTTCACCCTCTCACTTTGGTGAAAAACACCTCCACCACGTGAAGGCAGTGAGTAGGACTTCCTCAGGAGAGGCTATGTAAGACGCCTGGTCATATGGGAGCATTTCGAGAGGTGAGCGGAAGGGTGGCCAACCCGCAACGCAAGGCACCCACCCCCGACCATCCTGAGGCTTTGGAGGCTCATTAACTTGTGTAGTATGAAAATAAACAAAAGGATGATGAAAAGATTTGTGCATAATGTTGATTTTTGTTGTGATTTCTTTTAAAAGAATTGATAATTTTTAATTCATTAGATCAAATTAAATTACGAAAACTGCAAGTGGAAATGTGCATCAAAGGCTTCGAAATTCAGGAGGAGAACGACCGAACTTAATCTCTTTTATTGCTGACACAATGATCGATACTAGTGGAATTAATCTCATTAAGGCGTATTATAAAGCCATTGGGACGAGGTTGAAGCCATAACTGTTGTGTATACGTCGTCTATTAGGATCTCTGGTACTGAAGATAGTCTATCTAACTGAGTGGTCCCAACTCACCGTATAATCGTACCTATTTAGATGGGTTGATGTGTTTCAGTTAGTAAATAACAGCGGTTACAATTTTTATGATTTTCGAGTCAACGTTCGTAGAAGGCTCATTAAGGTTTTAAGCAGTATTTTGGATTTACTATAAAATCGGTGATGGTTACATTTCGTTTATTTGAGAAGAGCTAATATCTCATATATATGAAACAGTTGCTAGCTACCTTTCTCCTTGCGTGACATTTATTGGTGTTATAAGTACATTTTTGGTGGCGAATATTTCTTCTTGGTCTTCTGGATGTAAATATTATGTACTTGAACAGAGGTGATAAAGTAATCCTAGCCAATTCTCTGGTTCACGTTTTGATGTACATAGTTGATAGAATGTTTTGATACACATCTGTATTTCGGTAATTTTACTGTTTATGCGCATTTATCAAACGGATTTCGAAGAACTTTCATATTATTTGCCAGGTCTATTGGCTCCATGTCGATTACCGTCAATATTTTTTTTCTTTTTTTGAAGTTGTTGTTCGTCGAATTCGTGGAATTTTAAAACAATCCGGAAGTAAGTGAATAATTATTAAAGATAAAAAGTCTTCATTATTACTATAACTGCAGTTCTTTACCAATATGATATACACTTATAGTTTTGTCGTGTATATATCTAATAATCACTCATTTAGCTAGTGATACAGTCTTATAAAGTGCTCCTTCTTTATCTTCCGCTTGTTATAAAAGTTAACGGCCATCTACAGATCGGTATATTATTTTTCTCAGCTCAAAGAATTTAGAAAATTTTCTAATACTTCATGCTATCTTGGCATTGTAAACTGCATGCAGCCAAAGAATACATTGCCGATAACTTCATAGGTACTCCCCTAACAAAGGAAGCTGTTGAGGATGGTTGATTATCAGTAGAAGCCGCTTACTGTTGTGATAACGACCGAAACTAATTACAACATTTATGCATAAGGATATAACTTCTGACTTTATCTCAGAAATAGAATATTAACTTAGTAAGGGTTAAATCAGTAAGTAAGGAATAGCATTAGGGAATCTAAGTTGTAGGATAATTACTACCATTGGTGCTAAAAAGGCTAAATTGAAAACATGTGGATAAAATTAGGTTTAGCCTGATTTTAAGGTTGCACTTTACACTTTTTGTGCACCCGGTTTCAAAAAGTTTACATTGGAGTTCAATAGCAAGAATCTTATAAACTAATACCATAGATGCAACGCTTTTCATAGGTTTATCTCATGTTTTAGCTCAATTTCAGTACAAGTAGGCGAGAACAATAGACGTTACAGCTCATAAAAATATACATATGCCAGTATATAATAATCAACCTAATTTCTCACCGTCGTATGATATATATCCGCAGATGTTCCTGTAGTTCTCACAAACAGACTTAGGTCATATTCTGTTTTTAAAATCATTTCCACTAATTTATGCAAACAACTTTATTATTTGAACCTTATTATCAGCACTGCTATTTTTCTGCACCTTCATAAACAACTGTTTTTCTTTGTAGAAAAAGCAGGCTATGCTCAATCAGGTCCATGTAAGTTTTATTGTTTCCTTCTTTACTTCACCCAGATATTTCGTGGAGCGAAAATGCATATTCCTGTCAAATATCGATACATTTAATTATTATTATGATTGTTCCCTTGGGTTCCTAGTGGAACATAGGGCTTCAACTACACGCCTCCACTTGCTTCTGTCTTCGGCTGTGCTTTTCACTTGCATCCATGTTAATCCATACTGTTTCAACTCCTCTTCACACGATCTCCTCCATGTCACCCTTGGACGTCCCACTCGCCGCTTCCCTTTCGGGTTCCACTCGAGGGCCTGACGCGGGATGTCACCCAACGGCCTCCTCAGCGAGTGTCCAATCCATTTCCACTTTATCCTCCATATTTGTTGGGCGATTGGTTCCTGTTTTGTTCTTTCCCATAGCTTCTTGTTTGTGATTCTTTCCGGCCATCTGATCTTCAGTATAGAACGAAGACAGTTGTTGATAAAGGTCTGCAACCTGTTGGAAATATTCTTTGTGACCCGCGAAGTTTCTGATCCGTATAGAAGAACTGACTTGAGGTTTGTATTGAAAATCCGAATTTTGTTGTTGATGCTGAGTGATAAGGATTTCCATATGTATTATCGATATAAGTATAAAACTTGGGCACTGTGGTAGAGTATAATTCCATAGTGGATAAGATTTTATTTTGATAAATCAGTTAATATAACTGTACTACACTGTGTGGTTTATCAAAATAAAATCTTATCCACTATGGAATAAGGATTTCCAGATTGGTTTCAGGTTGATGAATGTGTTTCTCGCCTTCCCGATTCTCGATTTGACATCCTCGTCCGTTCCTCCTGTAGTTGAGACAATGCTCCCTAGATAAGTGAATGAACTAACCTCTTTCAAATCCCTCCCGTTGATGGTGATTGGCGCTGGATGTTGCTGCCACTGTTGTTGTTGTTGGTTGGTTATTTTCATAACCTCCGTCTTGTCTATGTTCACCTGCAGTCCTGTCTTTGCTGCTTCTTCGACCAGTTTGTCGGTTTTCGCTTGTAAGTCTTCGATTTTGTGTGACATCAAACATAAATCATCTGCGAAATCCAGGTCTTCTAGATTCTTCACGTCTGTCCAGGATATCCCTGTCTTCTCGTTTCTCACTGTCTGACGCATAATCCAGTCCACCACAATTAGGAATATCATTGGTGATAATAAGCACCCTTGTCTGACTCCTGTGTTTACTCCAAACGCCTCGCTGAGTTTTCCGTTGTAGATCACTTGACGTGTGCCGTTGTCGTACAGCTGTTGGATAAGGTTGATGAATATTTGGGGTAGTCCGTAGTACTCGAGTAGTTTCCAAATTGCTTCGCGGTCAACGCTGTCGAAGGCCTTCTCAAAGTCTATGAAGTTGAGGTAGAGGTTTCATTGCCATTCCATGCTTTGTTCGATGATGATGCGTAGAGTTGCAATTTGGTCAGAACATGATTTGTCTTTCATGAATCCAGCTTGTTCTGGTCGGAGTTCTGTATCCAGTGCGTCCTTTATTCCCTCCAGGATGCTGCGACTCAGGATTTTACTTGGCGTTGACAGGAGCATGATTCCTCGCCAGTTCTTGCAGAGTCCTAAGTCGCCCTTCTTTGGTGGTTTCACTAGGTAACCTTTCCTCCAGTCAGTAGGCACCTTTCCCTCTTTCCAGATCTTTTGCAATAATGGAGTCAGCATATCTGCTGTCGTCTCCGGGTCCGCTTTCAGTGCTTCCGGGGGTATTCCATCTGGTCCAGCTGCCTTTCCAGCTTTCAGAAGCTTGATTGCATTCAAGACTTCAGCTTTCGTTGGAGGATTGGTGTCAACTTGCAGTTGTGTACGTGCTGTTGTTGGTATTTCTGGACGGGTTGTAGGTGGTGGTCGGTTCAAGAGTTCTTTGAAGTGATCTGCCCATTGTTTAATCTGTCTTTCTTCCTTGGTAATTAGGTTCCCTTGGCTGTCTTTTATAGGTTTCACTTGTGTTGATCTCTTTCCGGATAGAGATTTGGTTATCTGATATAGTGTCCTCAGGTCCCTTTTGCCTGCTGCCTTCTCAGCTTCAGTAGCCAGGTTGTCGTAGAATTGTCTTTTGTCCTTCCTGGCACTCTTCTTCACTTCTTTGTCCAGTGCTGTGTAAGTTGAGCTCAGCGTCCGTCTTTGCATTGAATCATTTTCTCTTTCACCATTCTACTCTCCTCTATTAGTTTCCAAGTGTCCGCTGAGAGCCATTCCTTGTCTTGTTTTTTCTTTCTTCCTAAAACCGTTGAACACGTTTCATTGAAAATCACCTTCAGAGAGTTCCAATGGTCTTCCATGGATGATTCCTGAGGGGTGCCACGTAGTGTTTCCTGCTTTGCTCTGACAGTTGCAATGAAAGTGTCTTTTGTGGTTGTGTCCTTCAGTTTTTGCGTGTTGAACTTGCATTGTGGCCTATCCCCAGGTATCCTCGAGGCTTTTAGCTTCACCTTGAAAGTCCCTTGTACTAGATAGTGGTCTTAACCCACATCTGCTCCTCTCCTCGACCTTGTGTCGAGTAGGCTCCGTCTCCACTTTCTTGAGATTGAAATGAAGTCTATCTGGTTTTTGGTGTGTCCATCTGGTGAAATCCATGTTGCCTTGTGTATATCCCTGTGTTTGAACACACTGCCACCAATCACCAAATCATTGAAGGCGCAGAAGTCTGAGAAGAGTTCGCCATTTTCGTTCATTTCACCGAGGGCCTCACGACCCATGGTGAGTTCTCTTCCTGTATTGTCTCCTCCCAGTTTCGCATTCATGTCTCCCATCAGGATTTTGATATGGCTCTTTGGGATGTTGTCCATTACTGTTTGTAGTTGACTGTAGAAATCCTCCTTCTTCTCATGTTCTGAGGTGTTTGTAGGCGCGTAGCACTGAATGATTGTGACCTTCTTTCCTTTTGAGTTGAACCTGGCTGTCATTATCCTGGAGGAGATTGGTTCCCACTGCATGAGAGCTTTAGCCGCTGTTGGTGACATCATGATGGCTACTCCCTCGGTGTGCTCGTGATTGTCCTCTGGGTGACCGGAGTAGATTATTGTCTCTCCAGTTGATAGTTGGCTCCTTCCACATCCGTTCCATCTGCTCTCGCAGATTCCCAACACTTCTATTTTATATCTCCTCATTTCTGCGGCTACCTGAGCAGCCTTCCCAGCTTCGTACATTGTACGAACATTCCACGTCCCCATCCTTATTTTCGCTTTCATCGAAAGAAGGCACATCGGCTGACTGGCTTCGCGAAGGCTTTCACCAGCCTGCGTCATTTCACTTCCCCGATTTCAGCGAAAAATAAGGTTATTGTTTGTATTTTTAGAATTTTGAATATATTTGTGCGTTGAAGTTTTAGTAGCAATTTGGTTAAGTTTTGGGGGTGGAGTTGCTAGCACCACGCCCCAACCCTCCCTCTTTATCTGGGCTTGGGACCGGCTTGAATACTAGTGACCTAGTAATCTAGGTGAGGTTTCGATACATTTAAAGGGGAAATAAATTAACAGTTTGTCAGTTTCGATTATAAAAAAAGCCTGGTGCTGCATGCAGCCTGCTACAGAAACTTGTGACCAATGGTTATCAAAAGCCAGTGGTATCCTAGTGCAGCTTGTCTACTTACTAGCAGCTCTGAACATAACCTGAAGATAAAGGTATTATAAAATAAATCGACTACTCATCCTCATAACGACCACAACCAGTGGTGCGTGATGAAGTAGAAGAAGTCATGGGCTGTAGATGGTCTAATTATTATTAGAGGATTTGGCTGATGAAAGTTATGAAAGACAGTCCTCCTTTAATTTCTCACTGTAGATGGCTTAAACTTTGTGCAGAACACTTAGATCAATAGTCTAGCTTGTCCATAAACTTCACTGCTGTTGCTCACTATCCAGTAACAACTGAATGGAATGTTGCTATGGATCCTTCAACTTCAGCTGAAGTGTCAAAAGTTCTCTCCTATATACGATGGTGTTAAGCACCAATATCTCAGTGGTTTGCATTATAAGTGTTTCGTGTTAGTGTTGCTAAATTATTATGGATACTAACTAATGTGCTAGCCAATTTGTTTTATAATTCATGGATTAGTGTAGATTTTTAATCTCTCAAGCTCACAAAAATAGGCACACATCTTTCTGGGGCATTCGCAGAGGGAACATCTGGACTGTTATACATAATATTCTAATGTTTATGGTCATCCAAAGGCTAATTTAAGCTAGGCAAGAGCAAACTTGAGAAAATGAGGCGAATTTTAATTGAACAAGAAGGTACACCAATCAAGTTCCCATCCTTTGACAGTTTGTGTTTGTGTATATTCTGGTGCCTTACATTTGTCATACTCCGAAGCATGTGAATGTATATCCACTCTGATCCTCAAGAGTTGCTGTGGTAATGACTGTGTGGAAAGAATGTACCAAGAAATTGTGTTATCGCAGTTAAGACGTTCTACTCGAATTCATATAGTTAGGTAGGAGTCTAACGGAGATTTTTCATTGGACACGATAGCAGTTGTTGACCCCAATGAGTAATATCTAGTGTCACCAAGTTTAGTAAATTTCATTATATACCTATTAATAGAGGTGATTTTACCTGATCTGAACTTCTTAGCAATTGATTTGCTACTAGGAAAACATCCACCACACTATTATTTTGTATTCGGTGAAGACTGATGAAATCCATTCTTCTAAACACTGTTACAAAAATATGCATATGTTTACCATACATTTCATTTCTGTTTTAGTTTTTATCTACACTAACTCCAAGGGAGTAATCGACTATTTCACGTGTCCTTTGTCAAGAAACCTCAACACAGATACATAAAATCTGTCCGTTCCCCTTTTTACTATTATTTTTATAATTTTTATACTGTTGTTTTTTGTTTTCACCTAACATCTGTTTTCTCCTAACCATTACTAGATGATTTGTATCTTCGTGCTCCTCGCTGTTGCTGGACTAAATTGGAAGATCGTTTGGTGAGTCGTTTGTGCTAAAATTGCATCTGCTTTCTCATTTATTTAATTAAATTAGGGATTCAATTGTTGAATTATCAAAAGGTGTGAATCAACAGTTATTAAGTTAAACTAATAAGACTTGAATAGTATGGTGCTAGAAAAATACAACCAAAGATTGGTACGTATTTAGTTTTAAAATTATTGATATCATTTTAGTACTTTGAATATATACGTCATATCTTATATTTGCAGCTTTTCACTTGTCGAATCGCTTCTGTACTGATAGCTGGTGAAACGCGTAGAGAATACATTACAGCGCCTTACACATTCGTTCGTGATGTACTCCATCGTTATATACCTCAGGTAAACGGTTATAATTTTTTCGAACGTTAGTAAATATTTGTTCTTTGCTGTCTTGTCGCTCTATATGGTATATACCTTCATTTTTCTTATTTCTGCATCTATCTTCGGTAGAGTTTTGTAGTATTTCATCAAATTATTAACTTATTAGTCTTCAAATTAACTCACTTATTCTAGACTGATTTTTCACATACCAGGCTATGAGCCACACAGATTGTGTGAAGGCTTGTGATGCTATCCAGTTTCATTATGCCCTACTCTTAATCACTAGCTAAAAATTGATCGTATGAGGGTTCCTTATGGATTTCTTGCATATTCCGCATGAATTAATCCCACCTGAAAACATGAGACTAAAAAAAATGTTTTAAGTCTGACTGTGTGAAGAATTGGTGAATTAACAGTTGATGAAGTCTCACAACAATATAAAATATTTGACTAACCTTTGCGTACAATTACATGATATAATTTGTTTAGCCTATTTCTCTAATATAATTACTTGTGCTCACTCATATCCCTGCTTGATAAATTTGGCGTGTTGGTACGATTTGTGATAAACTCAACTCTTATCATAATATTGGTGTTTATCTGCTGACTATACTCTTCCGAACTGAATAGAAAATCATTACACTCAAATACTCTGCAAATTTTGTTAATAAGTAATTAAGATAATTAAAAAGTGTACTTGTTTAAAGCTATATAAACTGATACATAACGTACTAGAGAACAAAAGTAGATTCCATTGACCGTTTCACGGCTTTCAATGCGCCAATTGTTTCAAATGTTCTCTTTGTGTGTTCGACGGAAACTTCATTTTAAGATTTTTAGTTCTAAGTTTTCACTACCGGATTCCGGTAAATAAACTCATGACTTCGAGATTCACTAATGCACATACCTCTCAAGGGTGTTTTTATGTACAGTGTTGCTGGTCATCTTAAATCTTAATTTCTCTTATTTTCACTTCAGCTACATTATTTGAAAACTCCTGTGGCGTGTGCAAGACGACTTAAATCGCTTTTACTTAGCAAAGGCCCTGAATGGGTTTCTGGGAAGTTACTTTTTTCTCGTGTTTCAAGCCGTCCAGATTGGCAGTTGAAGGTAATACTGATCTTTGTTTTGTAAAGTTTGTGGTATTATCAGTGTACTTACTGTTTTATATTTTCTAGAAGTCATTTGACTCTACTTATAAGTAGGTTAAATAATTTACCAAATAAAGTGTACTTAGTCCGTAAAAGTTATCATAATTCTCCTATAACCATTGCTGACTTATTACCCTTCAGCTTTTGCCTACAAGCATACTACTGTGTATAACGTTTTAAAGGCTGCTGTGTTCTTTTTGTTTTTATATGAGTTTTACTTTTGGAATGATAAAAAATTGAGATCTGTCACGGCTGAGACCTAGAATAAAACATCAGTTGTGTAATGGACTTAACATCCATTCCAACAACTTCACGTCGATTACATGAAGGGTCCTCTAAGAATGTTTGTCAAGCAGATATGTTCGTGTCATGATAACCTTTATTTTCTCTTCATCTTTATTCTGAAGAAAATTGTAAATTATAGTTTTCACTAAATTTCGTTGTGCAATATTTAGAGTTTCATAACTCCTTGTTATCTCACGTTCACCAAACATTTGGTGTCTCACCTTCATTTTCCTCATTTTAGTATAATTATGGGAGGGATAAGTGGCGTATTATGTGCAAAGAGGAAACGGAAAATGCCAGATCGGTTTTTATGGAATTAGTGCATAATATAATCAGTACCTTCATGCCTCAAATTTTGGTGAGATTGAGTTGCCTCGCTGTGGGGAAGCGTAAGTGAATATGATTATCACATCTATCGAAGTAACTATATATGTTTCAGAATTTCTTGCATTATCATTTAATAACCGTATTGTACTACTGTAAATATCTTAGTGAAAATTTCCTCACTTATAAACATTCTTGGTCGGCGTATCATTTTGTATTTCGTAAATTGCGGATTTTATGTAACTTTAATTCTTTAGGCGGAAATCGTGCAAATAAAGATTTTGAAAAACCAACCAATCAAGGGACAGATAAGCTTCTATCTATTGGATCAAGTCGAGCAGAAATGGAGTCTTCTTATGATCTCATACCTTTGTATGACCCTTCTGATCAGAGTGGACTACCTGAAGTTGGAAACGATCGTCTAATGATTGTGCTGTATACGATGTATAACTTCATTTTAGTGAGTTACCTACTACATTGATGTAAATACGATTAAAAAGTTTGGCTTAATGTATTCAACATCCTTGTAGTTTTATTGCTGTCCGAGTGTTTTCACGCATAGAGCTTTCTATGTCAGTCAAACTGTTATCTCTATTGATACCAAAGTGAAATACTACTGAGTTGGCTATACGATCATTAGTTCCTCGTTATAATGTACACACACTGTGAGTATGGTAAGGTGGTAGAGCCGAACTGAAATTAAGCTCTGAATCCTCTAGATAGTAAGCACCTCTCATTATATTACAGTATATATTTATACACCTTGCAAACGTAATTTCCCTTTACTTGCTTCAACGTTTTACGTTTTTGCGGATATACATATGTAAGTCGTTTACTATGTCTTTCTCGGTGATGAATTAAAGATACTTAGATATATAGTTTTGCAATTCTTTACATGAAATTTTAAAACTTCCGGTATGATTTGACTTTTTAATGGCATTGTCTCATCAAATAAAGACGCAGTTCTTTAGGATAATTTGAAACTAAGCACCATAGTAACTGCGATTAACAGAAATGTATACATCTTCACTCCCGATTATATGGTAATGCCAGATACTTCTCATGTAGAAAGTTTCAAGTATACTAATATGTGTTCTTTTGAAAATTCAATTAAGGATATATAATAATTTTGAGTACTGCAAGTGTATATTCCACACAACATAATATATCCTTATTAGGTTGTTATAATGTTGTTGCCTAATGTTAGTTGATTACATATAAATCATCCCTAAAGATCTGGACTACATCGACTCCAGCCGAGCGATTCTGGGGAAATCACTCGTACCAAATTCCCATGAAACTTCATGAGCTCTCAGTACAGTCAAGGCTGATATGGAGTGCCTGGGGCTACAAACCGTCTACGGAATCCGTCTTTGGAACAAGAATTGGATAACCCTGTCGCAAAACCTTACATGAGATCGCCGCGCCTGGGCAGCGATGATTCGAGATGTTCATGAAGCCGGCTCATCCTCCCGTAGGAGATAGCCGTAGTGAATTATTATTATTATTATTTAGAAATAGGAAGTAGTGTTAGAGCGTGTTGACCACTTCATTTTTCTCGGAAGTTAAGTCATCCATTCCCGGCGCGTTGATCACTGAGAAAATCTCAGCACGGAGACATCGCTCGTTTGATATTTGTCTGCCAGCTTACTCCACCCCTGGCGTAGACGTGATATCCGGCTGTCGACCATAAGACTTGTACAGTGCTCAGCAGTTGGCTCCATCCTCCTTTGTGGCTGTGAGACATGGCCATTGAAAGCGGAAGATATTGAAAGGCTAGCTGTCTTTGATCATAAGTGTCTATGTTCTATCTCCCATGTTAGATGGTATAATATAGTCAGGAATATTGAGGTTGGGCGTCGGTTGAGTGCTAGGTAAGGAGGGGAAATCAATTGATGAGGTTGTACAGTTACATCGATTGAGATGGTTAGGACATGTGTTGCGTATGCCTAGCCATCGCTTTCCTCGACGGGCGATGTTAGCTGACATATGATGGATCAGGTTGGAAAAGATCTAGTGGTGGTCAAACGAAAACATGGCATCAGTCAATGAAATCCACAACAGTTAGTTTAAGCCAGCCAGTCAGGTAGGGAGGTGTAGACTTCCTGGTTGGGGTCATCGGGATGGTAAGAATCAATGGTTGGAGACAATTGGTGACATGGCTCAAAATCGTTCTCAATGAATAGCACGTATGATGCATTCATCCTCTATTACTTGTCATAAGCAATAAATCCCTATCGTTTTTCCATATTACTCCTCTTCTTCCTTCAAACTTGTGTTTGTTATCTCTGTTTGAACCTCTTTTTACTCTCTTCTCTTGCTTAGTGTGGTACAAGGAGGGAGTGTGGCAACTCGAATTGGTGTACTTCTGTGGAAAGTTTTACGTTGAAATCAGTCAGTCAGTCAGTTACATCTCACGGGATTTTCAGTAATTCTTATTCAATGAAAGGATGTTATACTGTGATTTAGTAAATCGATGTTTCTTAAAAGTTGTCGGTGGAAAATGACTGTTTAGTCTCAACTGATTTATCCCTACTTATTCACAGAAAGGATTCATAATTTTTCCATTAGAAGTTTCATTGTTTTACATTCTTGGCTATGTCAGCTAGTATAATGGTCTAGATTGGTTGTTGGTTGAAGGTCCTATTTAATATTTAGGCATATATGCAATATGAAATGATATTAGATTATATGGTTTTCTGAGCTACCATTCTCGTTTGCTCTTCCTAAACGTACGTAGAAAAAGATTTTAATCTATGAAGAATTGTTTGTACGCTTCAACAGATAAAGACACAAATAAGTCTTCGCATCAAAATTTTTGAAACCAACGAGAAAATTTGCCTATTTAAGAAACCTGTGTAAGTAGAAATGTTTTTGAAGAAATCACCAGCGTAACCGCGTACTGTTCAGTTATTTTGTCAACAACAAAAAACATATGAGGTAAGCGGACGAAGGTAATTGGTACTTAACACAATGCAGCCTCATTGAATAAACTGATGCATATTTGGAATTGCTTTAATCCTCATATAGAAAGGAGTAAGGGATTTGAGTCTTGGATATACAGTGTAAGTGTTAGCAGTCAAGTGAATGAACTTCAGTTAAAAGTTTCAGATTCTATCCTTTGTTCATCAGTAACACCTGCAGTTTTGCTGCTTTTGTAGTAACTGGCTAGTTATTATTTCATTCTCGTTCACGTTCTATTTAATAATACTTTTGGGGAGCTTTTCGAGTTTATAGGAGTATAAATTAAGTTTTTTTACTGTATCATGTAATATGCATTGATATTGGTCAAGTGTGTCACGGATACAGGAACGCATGTAGATGTATTTTCTAGTTTTTTTTAGATGAACGGTCGTTCCTGTTAGAAAAGCAGTTATTTCTTGCATGCATTTTGAGACCAGTATAAGCATATCCAGATAAGACGATGTCATGTTCTATTCAGTGAAATTATTTCTTTGTTTATACAAAGCTTTCAGACTAAATATCCATCTTGATGTAAACAAAAGTGTTGAAATAGCATAAATCGGAATCGATTATGACATGTTCTTTATTTCCCTGTCTTGGGAAGTTAGTTAAAACTGTCTGTATAGCTTATTTGTAAAACTGGATTATTTATTAGTGCATTATGTCACTTATTATTATTTTAATATTTTCAGGCAGCTTTCCGTTTCTCTTCCGATCCAATGGACTCAACAGTATTCAATGAATCTTTGTTTCTTTGGGTTATTAAGCATTATCCGAAAGCACAAGTTAATCATGCTGTAGCTCTACTCCTGAAAAATCATATTATTAAACGACCTAAATCGTATGAAAAGAAGGTAAATAATATAAGATAATTATATTAATCAGTATATATCATAGATAGTGACTTTACAAGTAACTTGTAATAAGTTTTATGTTTATTCTTGTATAAATGGAAATCTGAACTGTCTCAAGACCAACTATTACTTCGTGTTTTTGGTCTTTTGATGTTAAGATCAAGAATAACAGCGGGTTGTGTCTCTCCGAACCTCTATGTTTTCGTATGGATGAAAGAGTTTCATGGTGATAATACATATTATCCTGATAGGTTTTAAATGCGGGATACCTAAATATACTAGGATACTTTGTTCATGTAATATTCTTATCACTAATAAATGATGTTAAGTATAATTAAGCATAAGTAATTTGCTATACCAGAAATGATAAAGCTATGCTTCAATGTTATAAACTAGGTAAAATTTCATGAACTGTCAATGCTTGTCATTAATAAGTAGTAAGACAGCACCTGAATGAATGTTTATTCAACAACTACATTGTACTGTCTAATTTTTCCTGAAAACGGGGACGTATCTTAACTTTTAGTTGTGTAATGTTCATTCTGTTTTTTCTCTAATGTTAAACTCCCTCAAGTGTATCGCATTTGAACTACGCTGTTTCAAATTCTAACACTGAATGCGAAATGTGTTTATTCCATTTCAAATCTAACTATCACACATAAATATTCAAAAGAACACTGTCTATTACGTTGCTTAATTCACTGCACTTGTGAGTTGATCTCCTAGGTTGCCTTTGTTTTCACAGTATGTGTAGCTAATTCATTAATTTCAAGTTTAAAATCGGTGCTAACCGATGCCTCATTTTTACAAGCCTTTTGATAGTCCTAATGTTTAGTGGTTACTCTTAAATTATAGGATCTGTGGTATTGGTAATGTCTGTTTTGTCGAATGGTAAATTACTCCGTACACTGAATTGATTTAACTTGTCACTGCGACTCACTGAAATTATGAACACTTTTTTATAAGTGCTTACTTTAAAATCTGGGTCCTGGATGAGTTCCTAAATGCATTCTCCTTTTTTTAAATATTCCCATTTATAATATTAGAACAAGACATATAAGCGAACAAAATTGTTTTCAGTTGGATCTTCTTCAGGCTTTACTCTAATTTACATATATTTATATATGAAATTTTATCCAATGACGGTGATTTTGAGAATCAAATAATAATAATATTAATAATAATAAAAATGTGGTGAATGTTTTGAACGTATTTAATAACGGTGATTATAATTATAACAAAATATTGATAATAAGGTTTATGCAAGTGATAAGAACAACAATGTATATAAGTGTATATGTAGACAATTCAGTAAATAAATTAGATCAAATCTTAAAAGGTGAAGTGGACAGATAATCAGAGTTTAAATAGATATCATAAAAGTACGAAGGAGGTGGAAAATAAGAAAGGGTGGGAGGGTTTTGAATAGAATTCACCTAGGCCAAGGGAGAGACAAAGCTAGAACAAACTTCTTTTGTATACAAAGACTAGGATTGTTCTCTCGAATTCCCATAGCTTCGGCTAGGTGTAAAAGACGGATTCGAATTCCGTTCGAAAGGCTCGATGGAATACGATAGATAACTTTGAAAGCACTATTTTTGTCCACTTGGTGACCGCTATCAATCAAATGAGCCAAAATAGAACTTCGTATGGATTTTATTTGACCTTTTCCGAACCGTGAAGGAAGGTGCTCATCAATACGTTTGTTAAGCTGTCTATTTGTTCGCCTTATATAGCTTTCCCCACAGGAGCAACTAAATTTATAGCAGACATTTTATTCTTCAAATATTTCTGATTAATAATCGTGTTTGTTGACAAGTCAATAATTTTTATCCTAGTTTTTTTCCCTACTAGAATCGCGTGGAGTTTCTGCGTGATGAGCAGTCTGGAACTCTTTTTTACATTGTACACAGAGCACTGTAGTGTTATACTGCATTGTATTATTATTATTATTATGCACGTTTTCCTTTAATTCATATACGCTCCGTAGACGGATCCAGGTTTTCGTGTAGTCAACTCTGTGCGCATTGCTATTAGTCACAGGTAAGCACATTTTATTTCATAGTGTCGATATGGTTATACACATTGTTCTGTACTATGAATATTCTAAATGTTGCTTCGTGATGAACACAATCCAACTGTTGCAAAATTTCAGACAATTTCACTAATGTTGGCTTGGTTTTCCACTTAAGTTCTAAATCACATAAATGCGTTAAAGTGCCTCCTTATTTTTCCAGTAAAATTCATGGTAACTTAAGCTGTTGTTAAATCTAAATCGTACACGAAGTTATGTACAAAAGAAGATTGTAGTGACAGGAATTCATTCATTTTTAGAAGAGTGAATTTCACTACTACTTATTTCTAAGTAGTTCATTACCTTTCTGGTGAAATATTGTTCTCGTGGTGGTGCTTGGGTAAATGCTTGCGGTAATGGACTATGTAAATGGTTTTTAGAGACCGTAACATTTTTGTCCGTAAATAAACCTCCCATTTCTAGAACTGTCACCTTGTATAAATGTGTACAATCAGTGATTGTGACTGATTTAGTGGGCATCAATATTGTTAGTTATTGAACTTTGGTTAGTTTTGTAAACAACATCAAAATTATAATTGTATTATTTAAAGCTGAACAAGTTTATGATGTTCTGTATGATCCTCTGAATACCACTTTTACAAGATAATCAGTGCATTCATTATCAGTAACGATACTTTAAACTACTGTTTCGATTTCGAAACATATACAGAGCCTCTATGTACCATAAAAGAGTGAAAAATATCAATTAAAAGAGGGTATTTTCTGGGATTGTTATAGACTTTCTTTCAGATTACTTAGTAATTTTTTGTTTTATTAATTAATGTAAATCATATTCCTATTCACCCTATATAGATTTTCACGATGGACTCATGGAGAATTCACTACACAAACTAAGTATATTAATGAATCATATTCACTTTGGCTTCATGCTGTTAATCAACTGAATTCTTCTTGTATTGGTAATATGGATTTGATTGGTAGTAATACTGTAATGATAAAGTCTCAGCCAAGCAGAAATAAAGAAAAAGGAGCAGTAGAAGTCAATAAACAATCTCAAAAACTAATAAACAAACATTTATTCAATGATATAACAACTGGTGGTTGTGTAGCATTTTTCTTGGAATTATTATTGTTTTATCCAGTAAGTTTAGCTACTTGGATTTCAGTCGGAATATTTGTCATAGTAGTATTGTCTTACAGTATTAATCTTCTTACCTGGGCAGAAACGTAATATTCTACCTGTTGGCTCTGGATATTAGGGCGCAAAAATAAGCTTCCAATAACCCTCCAATTTTTAACTTTCTTTTGTTATTGAACCAACTGGTGAGATATATAGAAGTTCAGTGTTGAATTGTTAGTAAGGTTCAGAAACCCTATCGACTGGGATGTACACATTATGTCTTGTTAATTCTCAGTCACTGCATCACTGAAGACTAATGCCTTTAGGAAATAAACCTAAGATGGAATCTTACATAGTGATGAACCCATGAATTTATTTACCGTCATATAATAAAAGTTGTCTTTATTCATGAATAGTTGGCGTAGAAGGCTATAGTGTACGGAATTTTCTCTTTCATGAAGTGGAATTTTTTCTTAGCACTTTCAATTGACAAATTGGTAAATGAGAATGGAAAAACTAGTGAACCACATATTTCTAAGAATGAGATGTATGCTTAGACTTGTGGTACAGCAGTAAGTAACTATTGATTCAGTGCGTTATCTGTGAAGTGTTTATTGTTGTAGAATATTTCATGCCATACTTTTGTTGTGATATCGAAAGATGGACCCTTTCATTTATGAATAAGAAACGTTCTATGTTGTTTACATTAGTATGCATTGGCGACGACAACCATCGTGTAATGCAGCTAACTTTCCTATGGCATGATTTTAATTTTAATTTCAGGTTAAAAGTGGTTAATTTACATGTGTACATTTCAAAGGGTTAAATAATCAATAACTATCACTGTCTCTCCTCGAGTTTTAAAAACAGTTGTTCAATAGTTTTTGTTTACTTTTCTGTAGGTTGTACCAAATGTTCATAATTTTTTGTTGTTTGTGTATATGCTCACGTTCCAAATGCTATTTTCTGTCTGATTGGTGAAGTCGGAACCAAAATGATTCGATTATTAAAACACAACTCGATACCGAGATAGATAGTTTATAATCTTAGGTTCTATATGTTACTTCTATTGTAAGACGGATTATTTTCCCCTCATGTTTTCATACAGTAAAGTATTTTCAGTTTGTACTGCCTTCAGAGATGTGCCTCATTATCTTGAGCATTTGATTTTCAGCCAATAGATCCCGATTTGAAATCTCGCTTCACGTACTTCAGTATTGGCGACTGGGTAATATCATCAACCCTCACGCAATGCGGTTTATAGCGCAATACCTGATTACTGACCTTTACTAATTAACTAGACTACTTTTGAGTAAAATACTGATTTGGAATATTACGAGTGTTCTGTGCAATTGTGTTGTTATCCAGATTACTTAGTAATGAAGTCACTCCTGCGGGCATTGTGTAATGAAGTTTTAAATCTGAGAAATCGAAGTAGATAGTTCAGCTTATAACTTATTTCCTTTCTTCCCTGTATTGTATTCAATCAGGATGTCGTGTTATAACAACTCATGATGTGGATTTATTTTTTGTTTACTCAATTTATTTTACATAATTTGATTCATACTTAAAATATTTGTTGTTTTAGCACGTAGATGTTCAGATATCTGTTAAAGTGGAAGATATAATTCTAGTTGGCAGCAATCAAACGTGTGAAGGTAAGTAATGTATTACTTATTTACTAGCCTCCTACTGGGTTACATATTTATCATCTTTAAAAATCTGGACTATATCGACTCCTAGTTTAGAAATAGGAAGTGGTGTTAGAGCGTGTTGACCACTTCATTTTTCTCGGAAGTTAAGTCATCCATTCCCGGCGCGTTGATCACTGAGAAAATCTCAGCACGGAGACATCGCTCGTTTGATATTTGTCTGCCAGCTTACTCCACCCCTGGCGTAGACGTGATATCCGGCTGTCGACCATAAGACTTGTACAGTGCTCAGCAGTTGGCTCCATCCTCCTTTGTGGCTGTGAGACATGGCCATTGAAAGCGGAAGATATTGAAAGGCTAGCTGTCTTTGATCATAAGTGTCTATGTTCTATCTCCCATGTTAGATGGTATAATATAGTCAGGAATATTGAGGTTGGGCGTCGGTTGAGTGCTAGGTAAGGAGGGGAAATCAATTGATGAGGTTGTACAGTTACATCGATTGAGATGGTTAGGACATGTGTTGCGTATGCCTAGCCATCGCTTTCCTCGACGGGCGATGTTAGCTGACATATGATGGATCAGGTTGGAAAAGATCTAGTGGTGGTCAAACGAAAACATGGCATCAGTCAATGAAATCCACAACAGTTAGTTTAAGCCAGCCAGTCAGGTAGGGAGGTGTAGACTTCCTGGTTGGGGTCATCGGGATGGTAAGAATCAATGGTTGGAGACAATTGGTGACATGGCTCAAAATCGTTCTCAATGAATAGCACGTATGATGCATTCATCCTCTATTACTTGTCATAAGCAATAAATCCCTATCGTTTTTCCATATTACTCCTCTTCTTCCTTCAAACTTGTGTTTGTTATCTCTGTTTGAACCTCTTTTTACTCTCTTCTCTTGCTTAGTGTGGTACAAGGAGGGAGTGTGGCAACTCGAATTGGTGTACTTCTGTGGAAAGTTTTAATTTTGTACCAGTCAATCAAATGTCGTAACTTTAGGCATATAAACGCTGCCGTATCCTCCATATATGTTCATTTTCGAGTTATCATGCAGTTTACCTAAAAACTAATATTTACTGCATCAGATTTTCCTCTCTCTGAGTTGTGGACTACTCATTTTTTTGGTGTATTATTTCTTTTTCAACACATATTTCAGATGAAACAGTTGACTTACTCTCATTGCAAGATATTAAGCAGAATTCTACCATGCGACTGAAACCAACAGAAATTCGAAAAGATTTACTATATCGTATGGGTGTGTCTAATGATATATTGAGTGATCCACTATTTGTTGGTGATTATAACTTTATGCGACACTCCCGTTGGTTTGATCATCATCTATCATTTACTGGTGGTTATATCCAAGCTGTCCTGAGCAGTAATGATAACAAAACCATAAGTTGGAGTCCATCCAAGTTGTTCGAGTTATATGGAGATTCACTGAAATCTTCAATTCAATCGGCTAGCAATTCACTAGTCTTTCAGTTACCTGATTTCGAAAGAAATTGTTCAAATGTGAATGAAAATCAATGTAATCTAACACTGGACGTTGATTTGGATATGAAAATAGAAGATAGTATATCCTATCGTCTCGAACATTATATTCAGACTGGCCGTTTCAGTGGTCGTTCTGTCATGGAAATTAAGGTTAGTTTATGTGTTACTTGTAGACGATTCATTTTTATCCCAAAGCTCACGTTTTATTGGCGTTAAAGTAATCCGCGTTGAATATTGCTCATACATATTTTTTAAAATCTCTGGTTTTCTATAATAAAATGATTTTCGATTGTGATGAGTTTATGTTATTTGAATGTTTCCACTGGAATGCCTTTTTCTAATTAAGTGATACAAGTCGCAAAGCACCATTCGGTTATCTATAAAACGCTATAGATTTCTTTAAAAAATTAATTATTAGATTGGATTATGTCTACCGAGTTTTACTAATCTTTTTGTCATTTTGTACAGTGAGAGCTTCTTTCTTCTAATATGCTAATTGCATTGTTACACGATCGGCCAATACTGTGGAGCCCAGTATTATAGTTATCAAAGTGCAGTTTTTGAGAGACTTTGCGCGTCACAGACAGCCTTTCCAACAAGCTGCAAACTTTCATCAACACCTGCCTTCACTCATTACTGAAGATCAGATGGCTAGAAAGGACAAGCAACAAGAAACTCTGGCAAAAAACCAACCGAAAAACTATTGCCCAACAAATACACCTAAATAAATGGAGACAGATTAGACATGTTGAATGATATCACACACAAGGCCCTCGAGTAGGACCTGAATGGGAGACGACATCCAAGGGTAGCATCAAAATAGAAATGTGCCGCTGAAGACATGTTTCACTCGAAACCTAAGGGTATAATAATTATAATGTTTCTACGAACATACGTGTTTTCGATGTTTCATTGGAAATAACGTTTTGATTTGGTTGTTTTCTGTGATCTCATTGTTTTAATTGCGAAGCTATCGCTGACCTTCTAGATAACAGTATAATATCCATTATTCGCTTCTAAATTTCTGAGTTGCTTACTTTTTATTTAATGATCTCTTGTATTATCTCTGAATCCATACTGCTCTCTGTTGCTTATAATAATTTAAGTGTAAGTACTAATTAGTAGATGAATTAATAGGTCATTGTCGAGTGAACAAATAATAATTTTTATCACAGTAAGTGTAGAGTTTAATCTAATTTTTTGATTTATTCATACTAATTTCACACACCATGATTATTTATAGCTTTTTAAAATTTTGGTTTATTATTTCACTATTTATTTACTTTTCAGGAAAATATTGGTGATCGTAAAAGTGTTTTGAGTGCACTAAGGCATTTGTTAGATGATCGTGTGGTAAGTTTCAAAAGTGATTAGTTTTCTGCCAATGCATTTACTTTTTGAAGGTGAACCTTATTGGTATAGACACTTTGACTTTCGATAAATGGAACACAAGTTGATGGATCGTTATAGCTTGCTATGACACAGCAGGTTTTACAGATGGTGGTTGTCGGTTGATGCAAGTTGAAAAATTTAAGCACTACGACATCCCTACTCAATAATTAACACACAGGTATTCTTATACATATTTTTCAAGAAATTATTCGTTAAACACACTGCAGTATAATGTGAAATGAATATACAAACACCTGTAATATTGTTTGACGATCACTGCTTTTCATCCTAATTGATATTATTATTTGGGGTCGGAACTGCGTAGAAGTTCACGCAAAAACCACAATTCTTAAGGTTCCATACCGATACATTCACATCACACTTTTTTCTTACTATTATTTTTTATGTGTTGCGTTGTTTTATGAATTTCAATAAAGGCCGTATCAATGTAATAATATGAGATCTGTAGCCGTTTTGACCGATGTACAAGTTCACATTTGTGTATTTGTTTGAAATCATAGTGGTTTCAAGATATTTGAAGAGATATTGGTAAAGTGGCATTAGTTTTTCATTTTCCACACAATCTTAAGGGAATGAAATGCTCTAGTTTTTCACACTGTTTACCTCCCGCTCCATTACTGATATACCCAGTATTTGTATTCTCGACTGTATGTGCATAATTTCTTGAAATCCTAGTTCGAGTACTTTAGGTAACTAGGTTGTACCACCTATACGATGTACATCCCTCGTCACTCAATTGTCTAGATATCGAAACTTTATTGCTTTACGATTGTAAATGTAAAAAAAGATGGAAGAGAAGTTCGTCGTATTTGTGAAAATATTGTCGAGAGAATATTCTTTTCTTTGGAGTGTTTCGTGTACACGTTTAAGTGATTGTCTTTGTTTAGGTGGTTCTTACTAAACAGATTTTGTGCTTTGTACTCTACCAGACGATAAGTTAGTCTGTGCTTCTAGACAACTTAAAAAATGTATCACCAAAGAATGACACGAGATTAGTACTTTTCCAACAAAACATTGAAAGTTTGTTGTTTCACTTAACCGCTCGTTCGAGCATAATAGTCTAATTGTAAAATTTGTTTTATTTCCTTTATTTCATAATTATTTCAAATGAAAAATTTAGTTTTATTTGTAAAGCAATCAACTTGCACATAAAATAAGAAAATAATACCGAAGAATATATTGTGAAAACGTGCATGCATCATAAATATATCGTCCATGATGAAAGTGATCAGTGAATGGTTAAGATTTCTTTTGCTAAATCATTAAGCATTTGAAAGTCATTCGCATTTTTGTTGAATCGGCTTCATATGCTATATCTCTAGTTATAGATATGCTTCCATTAGTTTATCTTTATGATTATAGTAATAAACTTACTATCATGGCGGTTATTTTATTACTAATAAATTTTTGAAGTATGATTAATTCGGAACCCAATGAGTAGAAATGCGTTAATAAATCTACAAGGCTTTTGTTATATTTCAATTTTGGTAGTTTTATTTAAATTTAGTAAGGATTTATCATTGTTTTTTTATTTAGGTGTTCAATGTCGGCAGCATTCATTCTAGGTTCGTGCATCAGAAACACATACGTTTGTGGCTAGTTCACTTAAAGCCGAATATAAATCTTCATCCAAATGTTAAACAGAATTTGACAGAAATAGTAAAAAGTGAGAAATCTGAATCCTTTCCTCAACCAAAACGACTAAGGTAAGTGTCTGTTACATAGACATGTTATAGACACACAAAATATGGTTGATATTTTATCATTTTCGAATGAGTTTATTGTTGTTTTATTGAAGTGAAAAAAATATTTCGTGATGAAATTAATCACATCCGAAGTCTCACAGTAATCACACATGACTTCATATTGGTTAATTCGATTGGCTAGCTTTGAATTTGACGCGGTTCAAATTAGTTAGTTAACAGTGTTATAGTTTATTATATGCATAATTTACGCCAAAACATAAAACAGATTTTCAGTTTTACTCTATATTTATTGTTATTATGATCCAGATACTATTGACAGTTCAAGTAGTCACTGATTCTTTAAAAGTAAATGGAATTAACGTGATGTATATTGTGACAAACAGCCTAGAAAATATTCACATCTCAGCATAACTACTACACCTAGCACAAGTTGTACGGAAAATGTACATGTGTAATTATCTTGTATTTTCCCCACTAACTTATCTCGTATCTGCTGAAGACAGTAGACACGTACTTCTAAATACTCTACTATACTATGCAAACATCTAATCATTATAGTATGGGAAAGCAGAAGTTACCTATTAAACTGTGAGCTGATTGAACAAATCAAAGCCTGTTCGTTTGTGTTAAATGGCTATTGTAAAAGTTAGGAAGTTTAATGAAGTCATTTGAACTTGATGATACATTGAAATGTAGCTGATCGACATTACAAGTACACTTTACATTATGGAATAAATTGACCCTTTTAGATTTGTAGGAATTCAATTAATTAGTCACTCAGCGACACCATTTTTTTAAAACATTGGAAAATTAAGGAGACTGCAAACCTGTATCGCTGTAGTTTAGCTCTCCTTAGGGTTGTGTATGCATAGTCCTCTAAGAAACCAAACCCCATAATATTCAGACCGCAAAGCAAGCATATTAACCGTCCGGTTATGTAATTTGTTTGTCGTTTCGTGTTGTTTACACTGGCCTCTATTAGTATTCCCTGCTAAAATTCCATATGCAGTCCAATGCTTTTTTTGAAAATTGTATTATTTGGTACTATTTCATTGTGTCGGCTTTTAAAGGAATCACCTTTTTGTTAAGAGTATGTGTTCGATTGCTCACTTCACCGAACATTTTAAATTATTTCTTAAAGGTTAGATTCAACGTTATCAGAGACAGCGGAGAATCAAAATGACCCAAGTTCTCCAGCTACATACTCGTCCAGTATGGATGAAATACCTAAAGGTTATTTCTTTCCACAACCTTGGTTTTCCGAAAGCGGATCACCTAAACCAAGGTTATTTTGTGACATTCTACAAAGTTTATGTGCTAATTTAACTAATCATGGTGGAACCACACTAGCCTTATTTGCTCAGCAACATCAAACTCTATTTGGTCAACAAGCTATCCGTCAATTACTATGCGTAAGTTTATACTCACTAATCAACTTTTTTGATATGTTAGATCTTTAATTTTTTGAAATTTCTGATAATAATAATGTAGAGTAGAAACTAAATGGTGTGGTGATTATTATCAAGAAAGAATAGGAATTTCTCAACGTCCCTGCCCTTTTATGATGTGTTAGTGAGCTATCACATGAACCAAAATATACTGTGTATAGAAAGAAATCAGCAGCCTTTGATTTCTTATTACTAACATAATTTAACCTGAAAATATGGAGTGATTTTGAAATCACTTCCAAATTCTGGACGTTTGCTACTAAGTGACATTCGTTAATGACTGTTATCCTGTACTAATTGTGTTTCACTTCAAATATTAATTTAAAATTTAATGTAATCTATGGTTGATGTTTACCGGTTTAACAACTAAACCTTGTCTGTCTGTTTTCGACATAGAACTTTGCATTGATGTGCGGCAGTCGCCACACCCCATGTAGCACACAAAGAAAGAGAAGAAAGTAGAAGAAATGCATAATATAGACAGTAAACAGAGGTGTGAGACAAAGGAATAGTAATAATGGAGAACAAAACAGTTTCATTGGAAATCATAAGTCACAAGGAATGGATGCATCTGCGCCAGCCATTGAGAACGATTTTGAGCCATGTCACCAATTGTTTCCAACCATTGGTTTTTACCGTCCCGAGGACCCCAACCAGGAAGTCTATACCTTCCTATGTGGCTTAGACTAACTTGTGGATTTCATTGGCTGGTGCCATGTTTTCGTTTGACCGCCGCTAGCTCTTTTCCAGCCTGGCCCTGTATCAGCTAACATTGCCCACTGTCGAGGAAGGCGATGACTAGGCATACGTAGCACATGTCCTAACCATCTCAGTCGATATAATTTCACAGTTTCGTCGATTGATTTCCCAGCCTTACCTAGCACTCGACGCCTAACCTCAATATTGCTCACCTTATTATACCACTTCACGCGGGAGATAGAACGCAGGTACCTATGATCGAAGACAGCTAATCTTTTCATGTCTTCTGCTCTCAATGGCCAGGTTTCACAGCCATAAAGGAGGACGGAGAGGACTGTTGAGCAGTACGCCCAATCTTTGGTCGATAGTCAGATATCGTGTCTACGCCAGAGACGGTGTAAACTGGCATATGCGAAACTAGCCCTCTGTATTCGTGCTGAGATTTCGTCGGAGATCAACCCGTTGGGGCTGATGGTACTTCCGAAGTAAGGGAAGCGGTCAACGTGCTCTACCACTTCACTTCCTTTTTCTAATCTAGGGGTCGGTGAAGTCCAATCCTGCAGCATCATCTTACATTTTACAGGGGCGAATCGCATGCCAAACATTCGTAGATTGTTGCTCAAGGTGTTCAGTAGACTCTTCATTTTATCAGCGTCCTCGCCTAGAAAAACCAAATCGTCAGCATATTCTAAGTCGACGAGATTATTCCCTGGTAGCAAGTCAATCCCTGAGTCGCTGAAGTCAGCGGTTAGGGTTAAGTCCATTAGTACGTCTATGGTGAAGTTGAATAGGAATGGGGATAATGGGCATCCATGACGGACACCACTAGTCGTCACCACTTCAGATGACAACTGGCCATAAGTCCTCACCTGGCTGCATGAGTACGAGTAGAGTGCCTTAATCAGTGCAATGTATTTTCTCGGCATTCCCTTTACAGCCAAGCATCGCCAGAGAACCTCTCGGTCGACAGAATCGAATACCGCCTTTAGGTCAAGAAATATTATGATTTTCGGTCGTCGGTAGGAATGCCTATGTTCTAGAATCTGTCGAAGGGTGAAGATATGATCAATACACTCTCTTCCTGGTCTAAATCCTGCCTGGTTTTCTCGTGTTCGTGCCTCCCGAGCACCACTTAGTCTACGCAGTATTATTCAGCCTAGGATTTTAGATACTATATTAGTCAAGCTAATCCCTCTGTGATTATCACAAGAAGACTTGTCTCCCTTCTTGTATATCGGGATGATCAGTGACTTACACCAACCCGATGGGACTTCCTCTGATTCCCAGACGCTGCCTAGAACCTCAGTTAACGCAGACAGTAAACTGTCTCCACCGTACTTAAATACCTCTGGAGTCATTCCAGCAGGTCCCGCTGCTTTGCCTTGTTTCAGATTAGTGACAGCTTTAGTAACCTCGGTTAAGGACGGAAGACCTGTGTCTATATCCCATTCAGGGAGGTGTCGGATGTTCGGCAGGTTGAGCGTGGCTGTAGGCCAATTAAACTGCTCCTCATAGTGTTCTTTCCAGCGTTCCAGTCGTCTATCCTGGGAGTTAATTATGGTGCCATTTTTCTCCGAGATTGTTTCGCTTATCATTTGCCTTTTGCCACCTGTTTCCCTGATAAGCCGGAATAGTTGTCTGGTGTTACTAATCGCCGATGCCTTTTCCATCTCTTTCGCTTTTGTGGCCCACCACTGTTCACGGTCGTTGCGAAGACTTCTTGTTAGTTTGCGTCTGAGTAGCTTTCCCCCTCATCATAATCGAGGGTGACAGGAATCAGTCTTCTTGCGTCAATCAGTTCGGATGAGGCGGTAGAGATCCAAACTAAACAGACTTCATTTCAATGCTGCTCATGGAAGTGGAGATGCAGCCTGCTGGATACAAAGTCGAGAAGGGGAGCAGATGTTGGCTCAGATCATCATCTAGTTTAACGATTCTTCATGGTGAAGCTGGAATCCTTCAGAACAAATGGAGACAGGCTACTGCAATTCAGGTTAAACATTCAGGAACTGAAGGACAAAACTACAAGGCATACCTTCACTACAAACAAGACCAGAGCAAAGTCAGAGACACTACATGGTATCATTGTGGAAACCTGCGTTGGAGAATATAGCAAATCTTTGAAGCCGATGTTCATGGAAACGTGCACAACTGTTCTAGGAAGAAAGAAGAGACAAGACAAGGAATGGCTCTCAACGGACACCTACCTGAGAACTAATAGAAGAGAGGAGAGAAGCATGGTGAAAAAGAGGATGACTCAATGTAAATATAGGCAACAGAAGGAGGAGCTGAGTGAAGAAGAGTGCTGGGAAAGACAAAAGACAATTCTACGAGACACTCGCAACTGAAGCAGAAAAGGCTGGTCGCAGGTAAAAGAGACCTAAGGACATTATATCAAATAACCAGGTCTTTATCCATAATGAGATCAAACTAAATCATGAAACCAATAAAGGGTGCCTGAGGGAACCTGATTACCAAGGTGTAGAAAGCACTGAAAACTAACTCAGAGACGACAGTGTCCTCATGACAATGTTGCAAAACGTTTGGATGGAAGGAAAGCTACCCACTGATTGTAAGAAAGCCTAAATTATCAGACTACCAAAGAAGGGCGACCTTGTTAGGCATCTGCATGAACTGGCGTGGAGTCATTCTCTTGCATACACCAAGCAAAATACTAAGTCCTGTCATCCTGGAGACAATGAAAGATGCACTGGGTGCTGAACTCCGCCAACCGGAACAAGCTGGATTCAGGAAAGGCAAATCATGTGCTGATCAAATCGCAACTCGATGCATCATCATCGAACAAAGCAAAGAATGCCAGTCAAAGCTCTACCTCAACTTCATCGACTTCGACAAGGGCTTTGACAGACAGTATTGACTGAGAAGTAATTTGGGAACTAATTCAATACTATGGCCTACCTCAATTCATCATCGACTTCATTCAAAAGCTACGTGACAGTCGGGTAATCCACAACGGAAACTCAGTGAGGTGTTTGAAGTGAAGACAGGAGTAAGTCAAGCCTGCCAATAACCATCGATGATATTCCTAACTGTAGTGGACTGGATTATGAACCAGATTGTAGGGAATACACGAATACACTGGACCGATGAGAAGACTCTAGAAGATCTGGATTTCGCGCGTGGATGATTTATGTCGAATCTCACACAGACTCAAAGATGTACAGGCGAAAAGCAACAAACTAGCTAAAGAGACTGGCGGTGAAGACAGGACTGCAGGTGAACATAGGGAAGACGGGGATGATGAAGATAAGCAACCAACAACCAGCATCAATCACCATCAACAGGGGAGATTTAACAGAGGTTATTTCCTTCACTTATCTGGGAAACATCGTTTCAACTACAGGTTGAACTAATAAAGATGTCAAAATCGGAAAGGCAAGATACACCTTCATCAACCTGAAACCAGTCCGGAAATCTTCCGCAGTCAGCATAAAGATTCATATTCGCATTTTCAACACCAATATGAAGTCGGTCCTTCTATACGGCGTATCACGAAAGGGATTTCCAACAGGTTGCAGACTTTCATCAACCACTTCTCTGGCTGGCTCCATACTGAAGATCACATGACCGGTCGGTCGGCCAAGAAGAATTAGCAACAAGAAACTCTGGCTGGGAACAATTTAACCAAGAGCCAATTGCTCAACAAATATCCAGGAGAAAGTGGAGATGGATAGCGCATACGTTGAGGAGGCTGTCGAATGATATCGCGAACATTGAAGGCTATCGTTCGAGTGGAACCCAAATAGGAAGCGACGAGTGGGTCGTCGGTGCAAGGGTGACATGGAGGAGATCGTGGGAGAAGGAGATGAGATATTATGGACAGTCGTGGGACGAGCTAAAGAGTACCGCAGAGAATACGACAAAGTGGAGACGTGTTGTTGAAGCCTTGCGTTTCACTCGGAACCCATGGAAATAATAATTATAATAAATAAATGTTGGCAAAATCGTGTCTGTAGGGTGAATTTATTGTGCAATAAACTTTTTTACCTTGTTTGTAATGAAGAAATATTTCGTTGTTATATTTCTGAAATGTGATAACTTCCTGTCACTGTTGTTATTTATTGTACCTCAGTTCCTGCGTGACATAGGAGCAATTCGTATGGTGCGCATAGTAGCCAACTCAAAGTCATGCTTATTTTCAGATCCAGTGACATATTCTATTTCAGGTTAGTTGTGCTCTTCCTAGATTAATGTGCTTATATCTTATTCCTTAATTTTTGCTTATAAATATCAGAATATCACCGATGAACTGTATTCTTCTCTGCATGTAAAGATAATGTGATAGAAGTCAGTAAATCGTGTTCAAGATTCCACGACAAATATTCTAGTTTAGTAATTTCCACTAAATTTTATTGATATCGGTATTTGGTGCGTATTTTGAACTTGTCACTATGTATTTTGCAAGTTGTGTGATTGAACCCATAAGAAACCATTTGAAGCTAATGGAATGATAACTAATACTGAAATATATTTTGTTTTAATAAGTTACATGTGTTCATGTACCAAACGAAATATAGCGAAACAGTATAAGGTGCCTACAAGTAGATTAATTAGTATGAAGTACCGTTTTCATTAATTTATTATTAATGTTTGTGTATGCTCATATTTAAACAAACGAAAAGACAGTTTATAACCAGAATATTCTGTTTAATGCCTTAAAAGTTTGCAAATCTACATAGTTTTATGCATATAATAATTATAACCGACAAAATTATAACGGT